AAAAAATAGGATTTTATTCTGGATGAAGGAGGACTTGGACTGCCTGAGAACCATTGCAAAGCCCATGATAGATGCCAGTCTTTATTCTGCCAAACAAGCCTTCATTGTTCGACATCAGAGCTGCTGCGAGGAGGTCAATAGGATCACTGGCAGCAGCAGAAAAGCAATTAGATTGCAAAATAAATGCACATGTCTTTAATCTAGTGACAGTAATGAATGAAAAGATTCACAGTTAACCATGTATTAGTTTCACTTTGTGTTCAAATCCTCCCCGTTTACAAATACACATCATGTTGTCGATTATCGTGTAAATGATCCTGTGAATTTGAATGCACTTTTATTCTGTTTATATCAACAGTTTCTGCTGGTCCTCTGCATTGCTGGCTACTTGCCACTACATCCCCTCCTTGAGCCAATAGGTGATAGACTTCTCCATGAGTAGTATTGATTATTTCCCGTTAACTACCGAATCAGAAGGCATAAACAATATGGAACGATTCTACCTTTCCCTTCCAATAATGGAATAGGTTTTATATGCCACACTTTATTTAATAGCCATACTAAGAAATGAATAAATCTGCCAAGAGAACAAAGTATTCAAGTATTGGGGAGCCTTGCAATATGAAGTGTTAGGGAAATCCAATATCTGAGATATCAGATTACTCAGAAAACAAGAACAACAATTTGCATTTACAGTATATGGAACCTTTCAAGGAAAATAGCATCTCAGAGAGTGACAGGTTTAATTCAGAGCAAGGGAAATAGGGGAAGTGACCATAGGCAAAGTCAAAGAGGTAGGTCTTCAGGCAGGATTTAAAGATAAGAGGCAAGGTGCAATTGAAGGAATCTTTTGGGAAATTGGATGGGTAGGCCAGCCTAACCTTGTCTGAAATTGTTACTGTGCTGCTATATTTGGAAGTCTTTCCTCAGAGGATCCACGAAAAAAATCCTGAAACCTGCACCTATAATTTATAATTTTAACACAATTTCTCTCCTGATTTATTCATAGTTTAGAAGAAGCTACGATAGTAAATGTTATGTAAACAGAAAAAAAGTCTCCAGAAGGAGAACACAAAGTGCCCTCATGCAGTCTTGACTACATCGAATCAGAGACGCATATCATCTGTTGGAGTGCTGGAATGTCATTACTTAAATATAGGGAGCCTTCAAATAAACATACACTCTATCGGGTTTCAACCCTTAACCTCCACTGTTGACAGAATCTAACTGCTGCATAGTGGGGGACATGGGCACAAGCAACCAGGACATTGTATAATGCAGTTATTTCCCATCTTAAAACAAGGTAGCAAAATGAAACAGAAGGGCTTTGAGCATTCTTCACTGTATTGTGGTACATCAAGAGGAAGGCATGATGAATTTAATCAACTCACCTGACTTTGAAAACTGAGAGGCTCAGTAAGTTTACCAATAATGTCTTTATAGGCAAGTGCGTCTCATTTTGTTCAGGTTGGTAAATTTACTAACCTTGTATTGTGAGACTGAAAGAAAGAGAAAGACATACAGAGAGACATGGTCAGACAGACAATGAGAGCATTAAAGGAAGTCAGAGACATAAAATCTAAACTTCTTTTAACTTGCCACTAAAATGAATTCTGTAAGAGCTTATTTTTATGTGTATAAAACGGGAATGATTTAAAATTGTAGTAAAGTTCTCCCCCCTACCTGCCTCCCCCAAATACTCTTCCAATATCTGCCCGTGAATTTGATTTGAGGGTGCCATAGATTTTAGAAAATGCAGTACTATTCCTGTCATATGTGAGGGTACAGTGACCGAGTAAAATGGAAAATTATCAAAGTTCTTCCATTGTGGTGGTAATCTCTCACAAATACTAATCTCTTATGAAACAAAATGCATCATGAAAAAAACAAGGAAAAGTGGGTCGTAAAAAATATTCATCACTGTTCATTTTCTTCAATTGGACTGATTTTGTTTCACATAAAGATGTTATTTATAGACAGCTATTGCAGGGTTTGGGAGAGATGATTCCCAGCCTATTTCAAGCTCAAACCAGATATAATTCTGTCTAGCTGACTGACAAGAGGATAGGATACAATGATATCTGTGAGAAACAAAGGCATGTACACTGAGGAGAGAGTTGGTTACATGTCAAAATAGATTCTGGAGTGAATCTAGAGGGCTGAAATTCCATTTGCCCTACATCAGTAAGAAACCACATAAAAATAAAATGTGGATGTTGTTCCAACAACAAGAGCAATTTGCATTTAATAGCATCTCCACATAGGAAAACATAGAGAAACAAACAGAATTCCTCCAATTTGGAGGAGCGTGAAGGTAGAAGGGAGATGGCTGAAGGCAGAGAGAAAGTGTTTTTTCCTTTTCCTTTACAATTAAGTCTCAGCCAACTATGACCTAAAAATCCTGATGTGAAAGTTGCACAGATTTATATAGAATGTTACAGCAAGGAAACACGCCTTTTAACCCAATTTGTCTGTGCTGATCTTTAGACACCACATGAGCCTCCAAGCCACCCTATTCCCTCTCCCGTACCCCTTTATTTCCTTCTTTCTTTATGTATCATATTCCCACTTAATTGCACTCAATAAGAACTTCCAGAAGTAAGTTCCACATTCTTACCACTCTCAGTAAAGAAGTTCCTCATTAACTCCCTTTTTAAATCTGCTACTGGGTAGCTTATATTGAAGTCTCTTTGTTTTCAACTTGCATATAAGTGGAGATAGCTTATCAACATCCACATCAGCAAATCCTTTCTTAACTGTAAACACCTCTATCAGGTCCTCTCTCAATCATTCTCAACTCTCGACAGAAAAACTACAATCTGTCCAATTTTTCTTGATAGATCTTTCACTCATGTGTGGTAATATCCTAGTAAATGTACCCTGCATATTCTCCAATGCTACAATATCCTTCCTTTAGCATGGTGACCAGGAACTACACACTGTTTTATATAAATTTAACTCTCTTCCCTGTGTTTGGAACTATTTCTCTGGTCAAAGGTTTAAACCCACCAGCTTCTGACTCAGACACAAGAGTAATAAAAACTGAACGAAACTGACACTTGACAATTTAATAAATTTTACATACTGGCTGAAATGGACTGAATGATCAGTTTTGGAGTAGGGGCCTCATAAAAGCCTTGACAGGGGGGAAAGCACTTCTGTCTTCCACAGAGCCACCTTACAAAAGATTGAACTCATCCAGATTGATAAAATTAGCCAGGAATATGTTGCAACAGTTTTGAGGAATAGCAGAGAGAGAGAGACGAGAAGATAGTTATTAGAGTTGTAAACACATGGTGTTTATTATACTATAATAGTATAACCTGAGGCACATCTCCTTACTCCATATGCCTCACTTTCCGGGAGCATTAATCCCTTAAAAAAAATTACTCAATCATCAACTGTTGGTGGGACATAGCTGTGCGTAACTGGCTGCTGCATTTCACCTACAAAATATAGTCAATTCACTTTACAGTATATTCTATGAAGCACTTTGAGACACCTCGAAGATGTGATAAGGTTCTATATCAAATGCAAGGATTATTATTATTATTATTATTGACACCATAGGCACCTTAAGAGGAAAGGCAAACTAACTCACATCATATTGATACAGCACCAGTGAAGGTAATGACCTTGGATACCCTTGCTCAAACAATTAACACTTATTTCTCCTTAACGCACCAATTTAGATAAGATATCTTAAGTTATATAATCAATGCAACTCATGAAATTTTGAGCCCATTATCATTTAGCAATTTGGGAATATTTCACAAGCCTACCAATCTTCTTCCCGCTTTGCTTCAAAATGAGTTGGCTCACTTTAAATTAGGAAGGTATCAGTCAGTGGGGTTGTGCAGGCATTTGAGGTGGTTCCTTTCAGAAACAGATTGGCAAAAACAAGGCCGGTAACTGTATCCAATCTCATTCATGATTTAACAGTACCTGAGCCCTTTGGAAACTTTAACCCTGAAGTTTTGCATCTAAAGAAACAGCCCTCACTTGCCATTTTATTTCACAATAAGTGTAAAGCATACATTGGTGAGATTGTCTACAAGCAAGAAACTCCTAGCACCTGGCTTATTAGAAAACAAAGTGATTGATATACCACAGAGTGTTTCTTTTCGCCGACTGGACCACAGGGACCCTTAAACACTGAAACAGAAGTTGCTGGGAATACTCAGCAGGTCAGGCAGCATCTATGGAGAAAGGAAAGTGAGTCAACCTTTTGGGTCCACGGCCCTTCATCAGAACGCAAACATTACCTACACAACATTATCTTTTTGACTGTTTTTTCCCAATTAATTTAATTTCTGACTTAATGGTCCTCGATTTGGTTAATTGATCATAGCTTTTGTCTAAATGGACAGACAGGTTGATAGACACTCGAGTCAAATACTCGTGTAACAGCCGGGACAGGATATCGGATTGCGGCTCTGAGCTTGTGTTACCGCAGAGTAAAGTGTCCCAGCCTTCATGGACATCTCAGCAATATTGTGAACAGAGGCGCTTATGAAATACCCCCCTGCAAAGTGTTTGGGAGTGGAGAACTACAGTTAAAAATAATGGTTTGCTTTCCGTGCTGCCTTGTATCAGCTTCTGATCATTTGTGAGTTGATAATCTGTGGACAACCTTTCAGCACCTCGGGCAGCGCCGACTCTCCAATCAGAATCACAACTATTGTTCAAACAAATGGGGGTCGAGAGATTGGCTGAGAAATCGAATGAATGAATGATTGTGTTCAATTTAAAACTCGCCCAGGATGAGATTTCCCCCAAACAAGCCGCCTCTCCCCCCTCCTCCCTCCCTCCCTCCTCCCAGCCCAACTTTACTGCGTTGAATATGCCATTCTGAAAAGGTGTACATACCAGCCATTTAGCGCCTGATAGCGTTAAAGTAGACCTGTCGGGTGTATTTCAAGAGGCACCCGTTAAAATGTTGGATGATTCTCTGATGGTCAACAGCTTGATTCAACGGGAAAACATTATTCCGCAGAATCATGCTGAAGAAGTTGAACTCCTTGTTTCGTCCACACAGTGAGAGAGAACTGAGCGAATCTGGTGGAGAAGAACGATGGAAAAGGAAAGAGTCTGGTGTAAGGCTAGTGCGCAGCACCTCTCTCTATCTGATTGGGGAAAACGACCACAAATCTAGTAGCTCCCTGAAAAGGAGCAAGAGCTCAGTAAGCATTGAAACCGCTGTCTACAACTTTAAGGAAGAGGACCGAGCCTGGATGCTTTCCAGGACACAAGACTGTCTGCAATATCTTCAGGAACTGATCGTTCTGCGCCAACAATACAGGTACATCAATAATCTAAACCACCTGAAACCTTCAGCTAATAAATCACAACCGCCCCCCGTTCCCGCAAAGTCTTCTAAACCAGGGAAGAAACAAGTATCTCCCAAGGACTCCTCAAAAGTAAGTGTTTAACATTTCTTTTCACTTCTACAACTTTGCAAGAATTATTGAAAATCACCTCAGCAGTTTAGATGTAATTGAGGGTAATAATAATTCAATGCGCATTTCAACAATTTGAAGAGAGGGATTTTCGTTTGCTATGTTTTGCATGCACATGAGAAGATAATAATAATGAAGATAATAATAATAATCAGATTTGGTTTAGCACCTTTCAAGTCAAGAGAATGTCCCAAAGCACTTAATAGGATTTAGTGTGGTGTGACTGTGAGTGATTGAGGCAGCCAATTTGCACACAGCAGTATCCCACAAACAGCCTTGAATTTTATTTGAGGCATTGTTGGGAGAAACTCCCTTCTCTTTTCCAATAGTGTCATGGGATCTTTAACATCCATCTGAACAGGCAGGATCTTAGTTTAAAGTATCATCTGAAGGACAGCACCTCTAACAATGCACTACCTCTCGCCCCCCCTCCCCCCCAACCCATATTGCACTGGAGTGTTATCTTAGACTATGTGAGTTCAAGTCCCAGTACAGAATTTGAGCCTAAAACCTACAGTACTACCACTGAACCAGGCTATCACACATGTAGATGGTGTCAGTATGTGACAAACAATTACAAAATTAGTATAATATCCAGAAGTAAAGTTCAGAGAATAGATTTTGTTTAAAATGCTATAGAAATCTAGTCTGCCAAAACCAATAAATACTTTGATTTAAATGAATTAGGATTAACTCTCCCCAAGGAAACTTTTTTAATAAGGTGTTGGTATCGCTTTTGTCCAATTTTTGTCTAATTTTTTAATTTTGTCAGTAATTTTGTCGGTAATTTTTTAATTTTGTTCGTATCCACTTCAAATGAGTTTGTTTTCTTGATCTTTTTCGACAATAACTCTCTTCGGAAGTAACAACACTGTTGTCATCGGCTCTGGATTTAAAGTTTTCCCACCCAATTAGGTCTTTATCACACGTAATAATAGACCTGTATCTTTGTTTGCCAAGGGGAATGGAATAATCATAGAAAGTCTCTTTGTGTTTATTTGCCTTGTCTCCATATTCCCCATAATGTAAGATCTTATACATTCTTGTGGAATGACCCAGTCTCCATCTTTACTTTCCCAAATTAGACTCTAATCCTACACATCCAGCTTCTTTAATCTGGTCCATTTAGGAAAACCATTAGTCTGCTTTTGGTCCAGTAGTCAGGCTAGTATCAGAAGTTATGGATACCAGCTTGTTCCATAATTATTTCTTCAACCATTTCCACAGTAAATGGCTACATCATCAATCCTTCCTGGAATACAACTGATCTGAGTTCAGATGCTCACATCATTCCCAGCGGAACAGCATATGTGTTGTATTCTTGTGGTATATTTTCTTCTGTCTCATTGTGTATGGTGTTGATAATTGAGGTAGTGAGTGGGCACGTTGTGGTATTAAGGGTGTAACTGGTTTTGGGAAAAAACGCAACTGCGGATAAGCCGACTTCATCCACCTGTGTGTGCATCAAGGCTATACTGATATGTACAGTAATACCTGTCAATGCTCCTGTTATTAGGATCCCTACCATAAGTGTATGGGCCACATGACTGGCAGTACCTTAATTTCTTTTTTCTTCCGGAGTTGATAATCACTTACTGTGAGGATACAGAAACTTCTTTTCCTTTGATAGTTATTACAACTGTTTTAGAGTTCAGTACTAGTACAATCTGAGTCGACAGAGAGAATTTAATTTTCAAGGGCCTTTAGGTTCCATTTCTTTTCGCACAACCCAATCCCCCTCTTGGAATTCACATTGGGCCTTTGATTCATTCGTCCCATGATCTGCAATCCATTGTTGCAGAGTCTCCTGATAGATCCTCCTTTATTGTGCATTGCATTGTGTCATGTTTTGTGATACGGGTGTTGTCATGTGTCTCCCATGAAAGAGATAAGATGGTGTGTGTCTTGTTTCTAGCAAAGGTCTGTCATTAAGTCTTATCACCACCCAGGATAATCTTTCATTCTGTCTATTATTAATTCCCAGGCAGGCTTTTCTTCATGTTGTCTTAATCAATCCATTAACCCTTTCCACGTTTCCAGAGCTTTCTGGCTGATAAGGTACATATAAATTTTGTTTGATCCCCAGTAGTTTGGCCACTGCATATCATTTGCAGTAAAATGAGTTCCTCTATCGGTATCAAGAACAGTCATTATTTCCCATTGTGGTATGACCTTTTCCAGCAAGATTTTTTGCACATTTTTTGATATTGCCATTATGCTATCAAATTCTCTTAAAATTCATTCCTATTGTTGTTCAGGTATGACTGTATTTTCTAATTGATTTTCTCTCCTATCTTTTTCGACACTAAAGATTTGCACAAACTGTCGGCAGATCCGTATAAAAAGTCCATTCCTAGGATGATTTGTTCTTTCTGGTTATCATGTCTTTCTTTGTATCTGTCTAATAGATTTCTCAAAACCTCATCCTCCTCGTCAGTCTCTATATCTGTCTTAGAATAGTAATCTGATTCTTCCCCGTCATTGCATAGTATCACTAATCTCTGTTGAAGCGGCGCCTCAGTGTCAGGATTAGGCTGTGGACGTCCCTTGCCTTTCTCACTAAAGTTTCCAAGTCTAAATTTTAATTTATGCTTGAGGTCAACCTAAATTCTGTAAATACTTCTGTTAAGCGATATGACAAGTGAACTACACAGCACAAGAGGAGGGTTATTACGATAATAAGAGCCTCCAAAAAGACATTTAATTCTTAACTCCCCTTATTTTGTTTGAGGCACGGCCACGTTGGGCACCAAAATGTCACAGTGTCTTACTCTTATTTATGATTTCTTGAGTTTATACTTGCGATCAGTTCTCTGTCCCTTCCGCCTTACTATTTTCGATTGGCCAACTTCCAATGGGTTGAGGGGAATCATGACTCATTGAACAAATTTCTCTTGCATAACAATTATTTTAATCGAATGCAATATTCTTTTTATCATCCAGCAATAAATATGTCTGTATATGCAACTGTTAAACCATGGAAAAATTCTGATGGCTTTCAACAATTATCCCTGGCAGATGAACCTAACCCACTACTAGTTCCTATTCAGATGGAAACCCTGAATAATAGTCTAACTCTAAAAGAGTCTGCATTGATCAGCACAAACCTTGGAACCATTCCTCCTAGGTCTGCCCGAACTACATCCAGTTCCTTGATCTTTCCTTTTTTTTCAATGCATCAGTATTGAGTCATAGATCTTGTGTTTTTTTTTATTAGAATTAATATAATCATCAATATTTTTCTACAGTACTCATGTGACCATTGTGTTTTTTGTTGGATTTCAATACCACATGCTTATTGCATTAGTATTGTTGTATAATCAGTTGTTTACTGTTGCTATCTCACTATTTTATTTTTCACTTAAACATATCAAGGTATTGTAATCTTGTTAAAAGTGTTTTTTCTCTAAGTGAGTCATTAGTTTAGTTAGTTAGCTCTTTCATTGCTGCTTGGTTTTGGGTTTCCCTGACAAACATAAATTTAGAAAAGTACCACCTGGCATGGTCTTTAACTTAAAATGCTTATTGTTTGCTTAGACCTTAAGTTTGCCAAAATGCAAAGGAATAAAGTATCAGGAGCAGAGTTTTAATCTGACTCTCAATTCACTTTACAGTATATTCTGTGAAGTGCTTTGAGACGTCTCGAAGACATGATAAGGCACTATATCAAATGCAAGGATTATTATATGCTGCTAAGGTCACAGTTCAATGTCCAACAAAAAAGGGTTCCTGCTAGTGAAAAATTGCCTCTTTCTTTTGAAACTTCTTTTAAATAGAGTTTTTCTCAGTGACAACTGCACTAATGGCAGACAGAAACTATTTATGTTTCAGCCATCTTTGCTACATCAAATTTGCCACTTTTTCTACACAAAGGCTTGCATCTTATGAGTTCTTCAGTAGACTCGATCATTCTGGTTGGTTAACTGCATTCATTTTCTGCCTAAAGTCAATACTCTTATTAAATATAATGTTTCTTGTTTCGTCTGGATAAATCAATGCTTTTATTTTAACAGAAAACTAAAGAGAAATCTAGTTCCGTGCCATTATCTAAGGAAGCGGAGACGTTGGAATATTTGGATTCAGTCATTGCAGATTTTGATCAAGATAATAAATGCAAAGTGCCCATTACAGAATACATGAATGTTGATGTAGATTTTGATGGTGAGTTTAATATTCAAGTACAAATCATATTTTTTTCCTAGCAGAAAGTGAGAAAGAAGTTATTGTTGTTCTTTTACTATTAAAATACTGGAAGTCATTATTTTTTATGGAAACATAAATCTTTTCTACAGCAGCAGCATTAGGTCCACTGTATCGGTTCTATTGTATGTGATAGCAATAGGAAGCATACCATAATAGTGAACTCTGGATATTGTGGTTGTTAGCAATGAAGTCCTTCTATTCCAGTTTAATAATGTATCAGTTCACTAAGCAATGGCAGCAATAGATAGGATGTGAATTTATGACTGTTTCTCCACATATAAAATCTTTGGTCACACATGGGCTGCTAGGAGAGGTGTAAAGGCTAGGCTCTTCTTCACAAGGAAATACATTCTTTAGGGGAGTTGCTTGAAGCATACATTGCATGCCTCCTTGCAACTGTTGATAAAGCAACATTAATAGCTGCTTGGATGCAGATTGTTTGTTCACTATCTCACCTGAGCAATTTGGGAGGTAGTCAAAGAGCATAGAAAATAATTTTAAAAAATTGTTAATTTGATTCTATGAATTCACAAATATAAACTTTTTGTCTTCATGTTAAGTTGCTGTCAGTACCAGTGAACACAGTTTGCATTCCAACTGGCAACTTAAATCACCAAGAAGATATTCCATGGATGTGGCGCATTCAGAAAAGATCGAGAAGTCTCGTCGAAACAGCGATGGTGTAAGAATGAGTTTTAAGAGATTAGAGCGACACCCCATTTACCTGCCCAAAGTGGTTGAAAGTCCATTTCACACACTAAGGTTCAAGCCAATACGCAAAGATGATCTGGTTTAGCTAATCCTGGATTGTCCACAAAATTTGGGAATACTGCTGAGAATATATTTTAACTATTCAAACTTTGTAAAGTTGAAAAATCTATAACAAATCGCATATTTCTTCAATTTACAATCAATTTTGTCAAATAGCATTTTTGGCATTTTGCAAAACATTTTGCAGGTTTTTTTTACCATTTTTATTTTGCTTCTTTCCAATTTTTACTTCCTTTTGAGAGGATGAGTGGATTTACCCATCCTTTCTTCAATCCACACAATGCACATTCACTGCAGGAAAGCTTGGAAAAAGGTGGAATTTCATCTTTAGTCTGATGGGTTCAGATTGTGCCTCCTGCTGCACAAAGACCAATGCTGAAAATTCAGTGACTGTCCAGCTGCTGCTCGTATCTTTAAAATCTAGTTTTCTCTCTAAATTTGGTTGTTTAATTGCTTGGCACCAACAATGTAATAGTATTTGTGACCACATCACTCATATTTGATGATATGATGGCCTGTTTCTGTACTTGTAGACATTGTATATGTGAAGCAATGTGGTCCCACTATTGAAAAGCATGGACTCAGCTGGTGGATGTAGCTGACTGAGGGCAAAATATGTCCAACATTGGTTATCTTTTTTGATTGCATCTGTGAGTTACTATGTTGGGCTGCTGTCATAGGTGGATCCACTGATTAATCCCGGTGTGAGCACTGTGGCCTGTAAAGTATGGCTGCATGTGTTGAACAAATAAATACATTTACAATCAAATAAATGTGTGAGGCAGTTTGGACTCCAACTGATGATTATAGAACCAAGCCACCACAAGCAAGCGATTATAGGACCAAGCCACCAGCGAATGACTCTGAGTACAATTTAAAGAAATGTCTTTTCACTTCGAATTGTTATGGTTACATTGTTTAAACATGTGGGTTTCCATTGCTTTACAAGAGAGAAAGCTGATTAAAACACAGCATTGGTGCTATACAACAACTTGCATCTATAGCGCCCTTCATGTGGGGTATCATCTCAGAGTGCTTGATAGTGGCAGAGTCTGACCCCGAGCGAGAGAGAGAGGGGGAGGTGACCGTAAGCACAATCAAAAAGGAAGGTCTGTAGGTGGGATTTGAAAGTGGGGAGGGGGCAAGGCAGAGGGATTGAGTTCCAGAGCTTTGGGGCGTAGTGGCTGAAAGCACGGCCGCCAATGGTGGTGCAAGGGACAAACTGGAGGCCAGAGCTGGCCAAGCAGAGGCAGCATGTGATGGAGTGGGGGGTAGGCAAATCGGATAGGTAGGAAGGTGCGAAGGGAATGAAGGGATTTTAAAACGAGTGAGAGGATCTTGAAGTCGATCCATTTGGTAATTGGAAGCCAGTGAAGCCTGGCAAGGACTGGTGGTGATGGGGGTACGGAGTTTTGAGCGGGTTAGTATCTGAACGGAGGAGGTCTGAATGAATTTAATTTTGTGTATGATCGAACTGGGAAGACCATCGAGGAGGGAAGTCCAGCCGGGAAGTGACAAACGCTTGGACAAGGGTTTTGGCTGCTGTGGCTGTGAGGTACGGTTGCTGTGGGTGTGAGGTGTGTATCATGGAATGGCAGGATACCTAAAGAGCACTAAGTACTAGGACCAATTGAATGACTACTATAGAAAAAGCTTCACTGTGAAATAGTGGGGGGGAAAAGTGCACATTGTGGCATAATGGATTTTTGTGCCATCACAAAGGATTTTTAATTGTGTCCTTCCTGTCTTTAACCAACTTGATTCTGTGCATTAGCAAAAGCGTAGATCACATTTATAGTTGTATTTCCTGCATTAACTAATGAGAATTAAAACATGATTAACACAGCCACTGGACAGTTGTGACATGAGGAAATTTAATAAAATTGTTATCCATTGACTACGGACATTATTTTGACCTGGTATGGTAAAGGTTGTGATTAAGAAGAAGCTGATCTGAGTTTGAGACGAGTGGAGCAGGAGTAAGGTAAACCAGGTGAGTGCTGTAGCTTTCTGTAATTATTATATGTAGTAATTGGAGTTGAGGTGGAGATCAGCCATAATCCAATAGAATGGCGGAACAGGCTCGAGTGGCTGAATGACCTACTCCTGTTCCAGGGTCCACCTATCCCTCCCTTCACACTTTTGATTCTGTCACACCCTCTTCTCGCAACTCCATCATTTTCCAAATGAAGCCCACCTTGACCCCATCTCTATCCCCCTACTTACCTCCCAGCTCCACCTCCTTTCACCTGTACAAACAAAACATTGTGCACCATTTTCAACCCATTTTTTTAAAAAAAGAACGCTGTCATCAACACCACCCTTAAAAAAGAACCTTCCCTTGACCCATCTCTCTTCTCAAACTACAGATGCATCGCCAACCTTCCCTTTTTTTCCAAGATCCTGGAATGAGTCGTTGCTTCACTTTTTCCTCTCCCACCATCCTGTTTGAACCTCTCCAAGCTGTTTTTTGCCCTGACCATTAGTGCAGAGACAACCTTAGTGAAAGTTCCAAATTACATTCTGTCTATTTATGACCAGAGCTCTCTCTGGTTAGCTCTTTCATAGAGCCAGTACAGATATGGTGGGTCTAATAATAATAATAATAATAATAATCCTTGCATTTGATACAGCGCCTTATCATGTCTTCTAGATGTCTCAAAGCGCTTCTCAGGTTATACTGGAAAGTGAATTGAAAATGACTAATTTATTATTGTTTTTTTTTGGCGGGATTATTATTATTATTATTATTAGGCGTGTGGAGTAAAGAAACTTGGCCAACGTTTCGCCCTGCCAGGAATCAAACCCAGTTCCTCTCGCTTGCGAGCTGAGTGCTCTAACACCAAGCAATAGGACCCCATTTCTCTGAGAAATGGCTTCTCCAGTGCTGTAAATTGTATAATTCTAAAAGCCATTGGTGCCATTTCAAGGCCATTTACCATTCAAGCAGAACCACTGTCGGTATTCGTATTTCTTCCTGGTACTTTTGTGAACATAGAATATATTTCCCAGTTCCCCTCCTCCCTTTCCCTTGCTTGACATCTGATCCTGTCATTATAAAGTACTCTAAGACATTATGCTATGTGAAGGGCGCTATGTAAATGCAAGTTATTGTTGTGTACTAAGTGCACAGTATTACTGTAAGAGCAACCTTACCAGAAAGAGAACAAAATTGTGTTTCAGAATTTTGTTTCAGAGGAAATGTCCTTCAAAATGTGAATTCTATCAGCTTAATGCTATAGCTTTGAATTGATGTGTCTTCCTAATACAATGCACACCCCATGTGACCAACCATTAATATTTTATTGCCTGCAGGGAATAAATATAGGAAAATATTCAAATTATAGTGAATTTTGCAGCTGACTTGCTAAACAGCTATCGCTGTCTTCAATCTGCCTTCCATTGAATTGTTGCTAGGATATCAATTGTATGTAACGGTTTTAATGAAAAGACAACTTTGTGACTTTTTTTTGTTACCCAGCCAAAGGGACCAGTATTTCAGGCCAAATCTTTGACTAAATGTGTTATTTTGCAAAACTATATAGCCTCTTCAACTTTGTTGTACAATAATTTTCCAATAATGACAACATTACATTTGTATAGCACCTTTCACATCAGGAGGACATCCCAAGGTGCTAGACAATATAGTAGTTCATAGAAAAAAGGTGAGTAATCTTCAGGTGAGGGGGCAAGAGGCATTGGGCAAATAGACATGCCTAATGTGAAGCTGACTCTGCCAAAGTAAGGCAGAGCTTTACTGTTCATCACAAATCCACCTCACTGCTTAGTCCTAGACTTCACAAATGAGTCAAAGGGAACTCCCCCACTCTATGCCCAGGAACTCAGAACCATGAAACAGAGCTGTTTGGACATGCATCCTGTGCATCACAAGCTTTACCTGCATTGAGATCTTGCTGTCATTGAAGAAAGGTGAGGACAACCAGAGTGCCCTTTGCCCATTCTGAGGGCAGTATCCAAGCAAAAATTGGTGGTCTGTCATAATTCCCAGATAATCATACTAATCAACAATTCTAAAAATAATAATCCTTGCATTCAATACAGCAAGTTTCACTTGAGAGTCGTCTGTGACTGTGTATTTTATAGGTGTACATGGCAGCCAATTTATGCACAGCAATGTCACACAAACAGCTAAGATTACTAAATTCATCCAAATGAATCTTGTGATCATGTTGTCAGGCACGCTTCATTGCACTTTCACATAATTGCCATATGATGGCAGCATATCCATTTAGTGCAGCACTGTCCAACCCGGTCACTGGCCCCATATGGCCACTTTGCTTTTCAGATGTGACTGTTTCCACATCGATGAATCAACTTGCGTTTCCAATAAGAAATAGAATATAGACTGCAGTATCATTCGCTTTGTGTGATTCTTTTTATTAGAGTGACCATTTCTGACTCTCGGTGCCCACACCTGTGATCACTTGACAATTTGGGGAGGACAGCACTGATTTAGTATTGTAGTTAAACTTTAAACAGAAAAGATATTCTCTGAAAATTCTTATAGAGGATACTAATCTGCATGCTGCGTTTTTCACCTCATGTTTCAACTTGTCATGATGGGGGAGAAGGAAAGCTTAAAAACTCACAAAATGACAGAAGTACAAATTCTGTTTGAAGTGAGATTTCTGTTTGAATTGAAGAGTTTGATGAGTGAACTATGAGCAGTTATTTAGTAGCCTCACTGGTAAGACCAGTCACTCAGATCCTAATGATAAGGTACAATTTTGCTAAGGATTACAGTATATTGACTTTTCTGTATGTATTGGTAATTTATACATCAGTTTGACTTCAGTGACATTATAATGCTTTCAAACTATCATATAATGCTTGCATTTGATATAGTGCCTTATCATGTTGTTGAGATGTCTCAAAGTGCTTCACAGGATACACTATAAAGTGTAGTGACTGTATGTTTTGTGGGCAAAATGCGGCAGCCAATTGCGCACAGCAATGTCCCACAAACAGCTGTGAATTAAGTGACCAACTTATTATTATACTCATGGGAATATATATATTATATTTTTAACCCATATATACTTATGGGAAGAACACATCCCATAGTTTTTGTAGTTTTTGTAATCGAGGTTTCTAATCAATATTTCAGCGCCTTGGGACGTTCTCCCGACATGAAAGGCGCTATTCAAATGTAATCTTGTTGTTGTAGAACACTTCACCATAGCTGCTATGCTTTGATTATCTTGTAAATACTGTGAATCTGAATTGAGTTGCCAGAACCACAGCAATTAGTTTTATACATTTTATTTAGAACAAATCAAATCATCAGTGGAAGGAAGAGAGAGTTCCTGCATACCCGGGCTGTAACTTCACTAGGAAGTGTTTTCCTCTGGGTGATTAGGCATTTGAATAGAAAATGATACAATGAGGAACCCAATTTTCAAACAAAAGAAAAGTTGCACATTTCCTGGACACATAATAATACTACTACTACTAATAATAATCTTGCATTTGATATGGCAACTTATGTCTGTGAAACGTCTCAAAGCGCTTCACAGAATATACTGTAAAGTGAATTGACTGTATATTTTGTGAGTGAAATGCAGCAGCCAATTGTGCACAGCAGTGTCCCACAGACAGTTGTGGATTGAAGTGACCAATTTATTTATTTTTTTGAAGGACGTATTAGCCCCCAGAAAGGCGATCTGCTATTCGACTAACAACCGGGTTCCTACTTACTGCTAGGTAAACAGAGGTGTATGGAGTAATGAAACTTGCCCAACATTTCGCCCAGGCGGAAATCAATCCCAGGTCTCTCGCTTACGAGGCGAGTGCTCCAGCCACTGAGCCAAAGGACTCCACGTTGTTTGGGAAAATAAAATTTGAATAATCTATTACAGAAATGATGCCAGATAACTATGTTAACTGAACAGTAAAGATTTTCATTTGGAAACTAATGCTGCTTGCATGGTTTTAAAATTAAAATAAAATGGAATTGAGAAGAGTCAGTTGAGTCGGTCGAGTTCACTCATTATTCAGATCTGAACAGATGGATTTATGCACATTCCTTGATCTTTTCTGCAAATATTATGTAAAAGAAATTGCAATGGATCATGGTTAAAGAAAATTCTGCTTGCTTTGTTAACATAAAAATGTAGTGAAACTAAATTGTGATTAAGGGGTACAAAGATGTGATATTTCATAACAGATTATCACTTCAAATCTAATATGAAACATTGAAATAATCTTCCCATAATCTCTGTGGTTCACTTTTTCCATAGTGAATCCATAATCTCTGTAGTCCAATATAGTATACTATAGATACCATCCTGTGTGAAGGATGCTATATAAATGCAAGTTGTTGTTCTAGCGCTTTATAATATCTAACAGCACAGGGATCCAGGCAATTATCAAATGGGTGAAGATGTATTAATTATATTAAGGAACAATACTTAAATACCTTTTTAAACCATAAACTGAACTCTTGTAAGAATGAATAAAATTGAGGGATATGGGGGCAAAAAGCCAATCAGAAAAAGGCTGAAATTTCAAATCTCCCGCCTGTACAACGGATGTGAGAGACACCGCTTTGGCCACGGGTGGATGAACAAGCGCTGGTGAGCGACCGGCGAGGCGAAGATGCGGCTGCGCCAGGCGCGGAGACGCCATTTACAAAATCCCCCGCCTGAAGCGCGTCCAGATCCCGTTGCCGGACATCACTTCTGGGCGCCATTTTCAAATCCGACCGTGTGCATGTCGTGTGACGTCACTTTCCGCGCCATTTTCAAATCCGGCCGTGTAAATCCCACTCCAGACCCCCCGCCCCCTCCCCCCCCATACACTCTGCTACTCCCACTCTGTCCTTTTCTCCCACCGGCTCCTCGCCTCTCTATCCTGGACCCAATCATTACCTCCCTCTGCTCCAGCCTGGGCATCCTCCACCGGGCCCATCGTGGCTCCCGGCGTTGGTTGTCCCAGAGCAGCCACCCCAACTGTCCCATCCCCCTTGGGAGGAAGCCTCCCCTCCTGGATACACTTTTCACCACACCCCCTCCCCAACTAACATGGCGGCAGGGTGGCCCTCATTTCCCAAGCTTCTCTTGGTCTATCACCTTATTCTTCTGGCTGTTTCTCCTCCTTTGAACACCTCATCCTCTACCATCCTTACTCTCTCTCACTCAAAATACTCCTAGTTTACCATCCCTGCTAAACCTCCTGGCTCCTTCCTCACTGGTATCTCTTCTTTCCTCTCATCCCTGTCGCTCTGCACTGAACACCTGCTCATAATGTGTGATTTCAACCTCCACCTAAACTACACTTGCACCACCTCCTCGGATTTCATTGCCCTTCTACATCAACTCACTGACCCACAACCGTGGCCATTCCCTCAATCTCGTCATCACACATGGCCTTGACATTTCCAACATGTCTATCATGGACAAGGCCATTTCGGACCACTTCCTCATTTCCCTCTCCTCCCACATCCCCCTCCCCACTTCCAAACCCTCTGCCATTTTTTTTCCACCCCTGGAAAAACGTTCCCGAGTCCCTCACAAATGCCCTCTCTTCCTCGGACCTCCTCTACCTCTGGCCCTCCACCCTCCTCTCCCTCAACTGGCACAGGCCTCCTGCTCATCCCTCACACCCTCCTCCCCACCATTGGAAATCATGCTATCAGCCACTATTATACCCCAAAACTCTGGAACGCTCTCCCTCAGTCCCTCCGCCTTGCCTCCTCTGTCCCCTTTTCAAGTCCCTTCTGAAAACCTTCCTCTTCAACTGTGCTTACGGCCACCTCCGAACCCCCCACCATCCTGACTCGGAGTCAGGCTCTGCCACTGTTAAATGCTCTGAGACACTACCCTGTGTTGCTCCCAGCATTGTCCCACAAATGCCACAAAATGAATAATAATGTGATAAATAATGATCCTTGCATTTGATATAGCACTTTTCGCGTCTGCGAGACGTCTCAAAGAGCTTCTGAGTATACTGTAAAGTAAATTGATTGTATATTTGTGAATGATCAATTTTATATGGAGGATTGTTGGACATACACTGAGAAACTAATTTCTGTTTTGAAATAGTGCCGTTGGATCTTGAAATTCCACCTGAACAGGCAGACCCTGATTTAGCATCCCATCCGAATTAAAATATATATATAGTAATTTCCATCCCAAATCCTCTTACCCTCCCAACAATTACTTTACAATGGAGTCCTGTAGCTCAGTGGTTAGAGCACTCGCTTTGCAAGCGAGAGACCTGTGTTCAATTCCAGGCAGAGGGCGAAACCTTGGGCAAGTTTCCTTACTCCACACAGAGCCTAATAATAATCCCTCCAAAACCAAAAATAAATTGGTCATTTTCAATCTACGACTGTTTGTGGGACATTGCTGTGCGCAATTGGCTGCCGCGTTCGCCCACAAATATACAGTCAATTCACTTTACAGTGTGTTCTGTGAAGCGCTTTGGGACGTCCTCCCGACGTGAAAAGCGCTATACCCAATGCAAGGATTATTATTATTATTATAATAATAGATTATTACTGGCCACATATTCTGCCGCTTTTGAAGAATGTGGGGTTATTTCATGTGTCAAGTTTGGAGTTTTCTTAATTTTCTTCAAGGAAGGCTTTTAAGTATATTCTGGGAGTGGAAGGCTGTCTGGAAATGCTCTTCGGAGGTGGCAAATGCAAGGGATGAATCTGGCAGAAGGGCTCGAGCTGGAGGGAGACGTGGAGGAATCTTGCTGTGTTTTGGGGGTTGCGGGGTGGGAAAGGGGGGTGGGGGGGGCAATTTTCTGGGCATATTACAGTGATGCTCGCTGCTGTTTATTGCTGGTGCTTGAGGTCTGCTTCGGTGTGGGGGAGGCGATCTGTCCTGGTTGGGGAGTGAGCTGTGTGCTCAGGGATGGAGGGAGGGAGGGAGGAGGAGGGAGGGAGGGAGGCAGCCCGATCTGCTCAGTGATTGAGGTGTATCCCGGTGGGGGAATGATGCTGCTGCTGTGGCCAAGGACTGTGATGGGAACAGCGAGAGGAACCAGACAGAGAGAGGAGAGGAGGGGAGGGGAAGGGAGAGGAGGGGAGAGGAGAGGAGAGGAGGGGAGGGGAGAGGAGAGGAGAGGAGGGGAGAGGAGAGGAGGGGGAGGAGGGGAGAGGAGAGGAGAGGAGAGGAGAGGAGGGGAGAGGAGAGGAGTGGAGGGGAGGGGAGGGGAGAGGAGGGGAGAGGAGAGGAGAGGAGGGGAGGGGAGGGGAGAGGAGAGGAGAGGAGGGGAGGGGAGAGGAGAGGAGGGGAAGGGAGGGGAGAGGAGAGGAGGGGAGGGGAGAGGAGGGGAGAGGAGGAGAGGAGGGGGAGGCGAGGGGAGAGGAGAGGAGGGGAGAGGAGAGGAGAGGAGAGGAGAGGGAGAGGAGGGAGGGAGGAGAGAGGAGGGAGGGGAGGGGAGAGGAGGGGAGGGGAGAGGAGAGGAGGGGAGGGGAGAGGAGGGGAAAAGCTGCTCCAGGCACATTGAACGCTCTGTTACCAAACAGCTGGTCAACGCCACAGAGGTGGTGCACGATCAGCCACACAGGTACCTACATACATACCCACCTGCAGCTATGGTAAGTCAGTGGCAACTCACCCGCACCCCATCCCATCCTTAACATCTCACTAATTCCCTTTGCTTTCTGCTCTCTCCCTTCTTCCCCATCTTCCAGTGCTTTTCCGCAAGTGTGGGGAGGGTGGAAATCATACTCCCCCCCCCCCCCCCCCCCCACTCTGTTTCCCCTCCATTTGCCCGTCTTAAGCTCTGTAAGTTATTACCCATTTACTGGGTGAGAATGCAGGACGAATCCTGCATTTGAATCTGATTTGAAAATAAAAGTTGGGGGGGTTAGTTTTAAACATTAGAACGAATATCATCTGACAATAATTAAATGTTGATTCATATATTCATTATTATTCTCAAATGCAATCTTAATAAATGTATTCTTTTTATCCTAATGATATATTTTTTCTAACAATCTATTATATATATTTATATGTATTGTTACTATATTTATTATTTTTTGACAATAAAATCCGGACGGTGGCTTGGAAGCTGTCCATCCCTCTGTAACCTTGTTACTTTATGAATAACATGGGTCGACTCTCTGCTGTAAAACCAGGGCAGAGGGCAGGTGGGAGTGAAAGCAGATTGAAGCCTTTGTGCTGCTCACTTACATATTACAAAGTTAGATCAGTGGTTATTTTTGCAAACCAGGATTTGTGGATTTGAGGAGCTTATCACTTGGGAACCGAGAGGCGTTTCAGCAGTGATGAGAAAGCCTCTGAATTTACATTCCATTGCAGTGTTAGCTTTCGTGAGAGGATGTATATTACAGCAGAAGTGTGTCACGCATATATATTTATGTATATATATATGTATGCCAGAAGCCATCCATGATCGTTTTATTGCACACTTATTCCGCAGAATCGAAGAATTAAAATAGGAATTGTTTTGATTTTAAAGCATTTAACTACTTCGTACATTTTGAGCTCTTTGATATCCAAATGGTAATAATATTGCGTATTCTAGCGATTTTTTTTTTTACAAACCAAATAAGGCAAATATGCAGTGGAAAATTTGGCCAAAATGTTTGATTTGTGTCTACTGACAGTATAGTAAAGCCTAGACACTAAGCAGAGTGGGGAGATGGATCTGGATTTGGATCTCTCCATTCTGTGCTACTGTACAGAGCTCTGTAATTCAGCATCAACAGTCTAACCAACAGATCTGAATCCAACCTCCCCATTCACAGTGAGAAAACGTGTCATCTCTTCAGCTGTTAAGGGTACATACAGAATAAAAGAACCATGTCACGTAAATTTCGTAATCATTACGAAGGAACCACCTTGTTCCCTAAAAGCAGGGAGGTTCCTTCGTAATGATTATTAAGTAAATATGAATTAATATTAAGTTTCTTCTGTTGGAAAGCACGTGGATTGCTTCCAGCTTGTGTTTTGGGGCATTGTCATTCTTTCCCTTTGATTTCCACTATCCCCAATGGCATTGCTATTTGTGGAATGGATGGACTGTGCATTCCAATTGCTGCTCCCACTACCTCATCTGCAGCACTTCAATTCATTTGACGAAGGGCTTGTATTCCTTCTGACCTATTTACCTGGTGGTTACAGCTCTCAGAATGACAGTACTCACACTGACCCCAGGTCCTGATGTCTGCAGACACGATTTCTCACAGTATGGAACCAACTGTGTGATAGTGGTAGGAAATGCTCTAATGCCACAATATGAATATTTCAAAATTCCCCTCAAATAACCATCTCCCTTAGAATACATCTTTATTGGTCTTTTATGTACAGGTGATGTGATTTGCAACACCCCATCAACAACAACCGCTTGCATTTATATAGCGCCCCTCATGCAGGGTAGCCAAGGGCAGTAATACAGATAATACAGGTTGCAATATTGACACAAGAGGTCATGGAGTTAGAATTACCTGCTGTAAAGAGACTAAGATTTCCATTGGCTGTAAACCGCAGAACAATAAGAGAAATTATTATTGATCTGCCTTTTTCTCACTCCTTTCCTGAGGGTGCCTTTCTTGAGCCATAGCCAAGGCACACCCACAGCCTTACATCAGGAAACAACTTTAGCCTATTAACCAGCCTAATCATTCACATCAGCAACCACTTCTAAGAGTAACACGCAATTCTAATGAACAAATGGTCAGTTTTATATGAGTTTTATAATACATTGATTCCTTATTAATGAAAATAACATTTTCCAAATTATTTTTCAATTTTCACTCACTCCATTCCATGCCCAGTCAACCGGAATGTCGGAATTCCAATCCTGAGGACCCACATTGTCAAACCTTTACAAATGAACAGTTAAAACGTTAGACAAATTAAGAACTTTAACATTTAACAAATATGTTTAACACATTCAAAGAAATCTACAATGGTGGAACACAGAGTGAAGCTTGAAAGGGAAGGAGAGCTGACAGTTCACCTTGAATTATTATATGCAAGAGTAGTGAATAGGTCAAATGGACTATCCAGGGAGGTGGTGGAAGCACATTTTGTCAGCAAATTGAAGAACTAACTAGTTACTCAATGATGAAATCAAATGATATGAGGATGGAGTAGTATAGCATTGATTTATACCTTCAGACTGACCAGATTAACTACAATAAACTTCTCTGGTCCTACATATTCATATGCTGTAAATTACTTCAGATTTCATGCATTCACTTTACAGTATGGATTCATTAACACCTGTCTGAAATCTTTGGTAGTGGAAAAGTTTGGTGAAGAAACATGGGAAAAATTGAGGTGTGTATTTACCATATTAATGAACAAACCTTTGAAGTACGTATTGATTTTTTTAGCAGACTTGCATATACTGTATATTTGTAGCTGTACATGTAATAATGCTGCTTTGTATGCTTTAGTTGGATAATTATAGTATAACCATTTCAATTAAATGTGTAAACCTTGTACCATATACCAATTGGTTATTTTAAAAGAAATAGATGAAGCATTCAGCAACATTTGTCATCATCAATGCATCTAAGGGGAAACTCAATGCATACATGAGAGAAAGGGTATAGAGGGATAAAGTAGAAGGATAGGGAGAGGGGATTAGAATGAGTAGAGCCTTATGTGGAGTATAAACACTAGCACAGACTGGTTGGGCCAAGGGTGGCCTCTTTGGGTGCTGTATAGTCTATGTAATGTAATTATGTAAAAACTTAAATCTAAAACAATGCAGATTCTAATTTATTCTAAAAAATATTATCTGCTAAACTGCAGAAAGACTTTCAGCAAATATATAATAGTTCAGGGGCTTAAAATAGTTATGACAAGAGATAATGACCTGTGTGGACCACGTTGCAAATATCTTCGCTGATCTAAAGGGGTGATCTTGCTGCTCAACAGGATTGCTTCCCTCCCCATCAGAAAAGCATGGCAGCCAGTACACACAGGGCAGTGGAATAGAATGATGATTTTGCTACCCCAGATGCTGCCACATCAGACTATGGTTAACGCCTCCTCCAGGAGCAACAGAGCCACAGGGTTTATATTGCAACACTGGTGTTGAAAGCAAGGTTGCTGACAGGGGCATTACTGCAACACAAACTGGGAATAAAACATTTATGAAACTCATGCCTAACTTATTTAAGTAGACAGATGGATCTTGAAAGATCTTCCCATCTGATTGCTTCATATTGTTTCATTTCTTCATAACTGAAAACTATCTGTTCTCAGGGCACAAGCCGATGTTGAGGACACATTCATGACTTACCAAATTTATGATGATGCCATCACCCTCAGGCTTGTCCATGAAGCCTGTAAAATTCTAGGTAAGTAGCTTACACGATGCACTGAAAAGATACGTTTGCATGCTCTAATTCACAGCAGAGCATTCCCTTTTAGTTTTTCATGTGTAAAACTTGTGGAACAATATAACACGAGTTGGACTGTGTTTAACAAGATCGCAAGAGTGGTTTGGATGAAGCCTATGTGATCTCATCTTCCCAGAACACTGCCTCACTGTCCTCCCATCACAGCAACAAGCTGTTTTTTTTTAAAATGAGTCCAGTGTCCTGGCCTCATCCACCTTTCATCCAACCTGTTCCAGACATTAAGTACTCGTGAGATAAAGAAATATTTCTTGGTGTCTGCCATGAAATTGCCCTTTACAGCTCTGAACCATTGTCTTGTTCTACTGCCTGCAAAATTCTACTACGAAATACAGTTCACTCCACTTTGGCTCTGGAGACAGCAGTGCTTCTCAGCAGAGAATGTGGAAGAGCTGACCGGAGATCACACCCTACAGTAGTGCTTGTGGCATTTTGGAACCCCAACTACTGAGTTATAGAGGGGGCTGTAATTTAGAGAAAAAATATTGCCCAGAAGTAAATACCAGCAAATTGTTAGCTCTCGTTAGAATGAATCTTCTTAAGAGTCAGTCAATGGGACAGATGCCCCTTCGTATTTGCTAAGCAGAATTTAAAAATGGATTTCTTGTTAAAATTCAAACAAAAATAGCAGCAAATATTTTTTCATGCATTTGCTTCAGAATATCCCTATTTGTGTCCTGCCATACAGGTGCATCTTCTGAAAGTATTCTGAAACTTTTTGGGGAATATTTCTTTAGTTTCTGTAAGATGTCCGGTTATGACCGGATGCTACACACACTGGGAGGATCGCTGATGGAATTTATTGAAAATTTGGATGCACTCCACAGTTTCCTCTCACTAACATATCAGGTAATCCATCAGTCCTTCTCTAAATATTTGTAAAATCTATTGCTATTACAATTATAGAGATCTAGGTTTATAAGTGTTAATTGGAATAGTGTCTATCATAATTATATATGTTTTTAGATTCATAGCAGTCAATGTGAAATTGCATATGTGTCTGATATATCATTGTGTGAAATACTTTCGACTGTTTAGAAGAAGATTTTGTGGGAAGAATATTCAGCTCAATCAATTTGTTCCAGATTTTCCTCGGTTTTACACATTACTATTGATTCCTTCAGAAATGGCTTTAAACTCAATAATAATCCAGTTTGATTTGATTCCTAATTTATTCATAGATGTGGCAAGTTTGATGTTGCTTGTTAAGCATAATTCTGCATCTCATTTTCTGGAGTCTCTGCAATCGATGAATTGCATTTATTGGCATCACTACAACAGAACCCTGTTTTAATGCACTTTGCTATATGCTTACGGAGTGATTGAGGTATGGATACCAAACTTTATTTACCAACAAATCCAAAATGCCTGTGTCAACTTCATTGGCGCTTTAAACTGGCAGTTGATGCACGAGAAACCAAAATGTCCAATCTCTGGGTCTTCAGGTTGTGCCAACATCACTTGATGCATGCTGTGTACGGCAGATATGACTGTTGCCCTGGAAGTCAGACAGTAAGGGCAGAAAAATGTTGGCCGGCTCTCTTGGTTTCCTTCATTCTATAAAATGCCGGTTTCCAGATCATCAAGTTACTGCCAACGTCACTTCCACAGTTAACGTGAGAGAATGTCAACAGTGACCTGTTAACCTGGAAGTTGGCACTTTGGGCTTCCCATGTGCCAGCCCATCTTTCTGCAAACATGCGCAGTGAATTTGGTGACACCGACCAGCGATAATGATCCATTGCAGCTCTGGTTGGGATTTTATGCTCCCCTCTCAACGCCAGCGTTATTATCACGCTTTGTTATGGAATTGTACTCTTTTAGATAATGATGCACAATTTATTTAGGGAATCAATATAGGGGAATGAACCATTGCATTCTTAGATGTGGCAATTATTATAAGGACAGAATTTGTGGTTTTTTGTCTCGTGTTTGTATTTGAATGCCTCTCCTCTTCTGGCGAATGGTTTCTCTCTCAGCCCGATTGGGAAACTAATCAGTGCCATTTTTATTTTAAACATGTCAGGGAATTTTTTATTTGAATCCTAGCCTCTAGAGCTGCCTTTTAATTTTTAAAAACATTTTACAATGATTTTTAGGCTTCTGTCTATTGAAGAAGTACAAAATCCTTGCTCTCCTTGGTCCCAATTCAGGAGTTTTCCTTCCAGCTAATGGATTTCACACTTCTTCACCAGACAAAGAGAACACAGAAAGGAAATAAAACAGGGCAAAGTAAGTGCCATATTTAATATATAGTAAACTCCTGATAACTTGACCCTGGCTTAATTCGTCACTATCATTTAAGTCATCATGCTGTCAATGTCACAGCCGCATTTATTTATGTATTTACACACAAACGTGCCTAACTCGCCACTCCGGATAACTCGTTACTGGGCTCTCTTTCCCTTGGAGTGACGAGTTGTCAGGAGTTTACTGTAATGCCAAAATGGTCACATTTCAGTGCTCCTCACATGAAAATAAAATCCCAGAGAAGGGACAAAAATCAATTATTTTAACTTGGACTTATTGCTATTAAAACTACTGGTCAAGTAGGGTGAGACAGGAAATCATATTGGATTTAGCTTTTTATAATTTGTACATAAATATATATATTGTATATACTAAATTTACATTTATATAGCGCTTTTCACGTTGGAAGAACTTTCACACAGAAAATTTATTATTAAGTTAGTGGAAATGCAGACTAAAGTTTTAATAATAGGATGTTAAATAATGATAGACTTTTTAAAAAATTGTCCTTTATTGTAAATTGTACCCAACCTTTTCACAATCATATGTATATACAATGTATATATAATGTATATAATGTATATATAATATGTATACATAATGCATATATAATGTGTGTGTGTATGATGTGTGTGTATATATAGTGTGTGTATATATAAATGTGTATATATATATATATAATGTGTATATATATATATATATGTGACTGGATTGACAACCATGCAGTTTACTTCCAAAGTGTGATGTATTGAAATCTCAAATGGAATATTCATATAATTGGATGTGTAATTGGGTGAAAGGGATCTCTTCTCCTGGATGTCTAGAGAGTGGTTTTAGTCACAGGCTTTTCAGATCCTGTACTGCCACACTTAATTTATTAGCAGGAATCCCAGAGGCTTCTATTCCAAGTCACGGGAGTGAAGATTTAACACTTCTTCACCAAAGACGGTCTTAAATTTAAATTAAAGTTAACATGACTCTCTGGCAGCCAGGAATTAATATTCTGGAATCCTCACTATCTCAAAAAGTTGCAGTGTTAATAATAATATTCTTTGCATTTGATATTGTGCCTTATCATATCATTGAGGCGACTTAAAGCATTTAAACTGAATTTGAAAAGCCTCTGGGTGAAATTATTAACTAGTTGGGGAGGAGGAGCAGTGTTTAATCTCAAACCTCTCATTAAGGACACCTTTTTTGTGTCCACTTGATATATTATCCCTGGCAATAATTAAGGAACGTAATGTATTTAGCCTTCCTGCATTTTTACCTCAAGTATTTCATATGAAGCATAAACATTACTGGATCTTGCAGCTGATTCATCAAGTGGATGATTACCTCTTGACTCCCCCAATAAAAAAAGCAATTGTGTGCTCTGTGAGTTTGTTATGTTTTTAAGCCTGTACCATGGTGATACTGGAAAATGTCTCAATATAAGGCAGATCCTGTTATAACACGTGGTAGAGTTATAGCGTCCCAGAGGGCTTATTTCAAGCGCTCTGGGATGCTCACCTACGTGAAGGGTGCTATATAAATGCATGTTATTGTTGTTGTAGAGTGTTTGTCCACGTTTAGTGCAGTTGGATCAGGAACCAGTACTCTAGTACCGTACTCTCCTGGCAATGTCTCCATGATTTCTTATACATGGCATACAGGGGCATCTCGCAGTCTTTCAGCATCACTCATGAGAGCAGACACTTCCTGCATCTATGTGCAATACACATGAATTGACATCAGCAGTTCCACACAACCTGGAAATGCTGATCGGAGGTCATTTTCATATCTCGTCCCATTTTAATGCAATGTCTGCCTTTATGGCCCCAAACCACTGCATTATAACTGGATCCAGCTGTATTTCATTAGTAAAGTTATTCCTGAATCTAATACATGAATATTGTTAATTAGGGAGCAGAATGTCTTTAAGAATACAGTAATTTCCTCTAATGTCTTTAGCAGTTGTGGAATGATGTTATGAGCAGAGCAACAGTCTTGGTGTCTGATTTGTATTATTTCTTAATAGGATTTCTTCATAAGCGAATCTATTTAGAATTCCTTTGGTACCTTTACTTTGGAAATAGATTGCGTCAGAGCAGAGTTCCCACAGCTCAGTGCAATATATTTCTGATTAGTTACTGGAAGGATTTCCCTTTTGCATGTGTCAGATTCCTCATTAAAAAACATATTTGAAATTCTTTCAATATGAAATTCCAAATCATGCAAACTCATTAAGGCTAAAATGCTTAAACTCTCAAACTAAATGCTACAACATGTTGTATTTCTTGAAATGAATATTTGTACCAAAGAAGATCAAATTGTTTGATTACTAGGAAATGAATGCACCGTCTTTTCGTGCAGAAAAAGGAGAAGACGGAAGAATGCTGCTTCATTACTATTCTGACAGAAAAGGGCTTTGTCATATTGTTCCAGGTAAAAATACATCATCATCTTCTTGTTGCCTGTTTTATATGCCTCATGTAAAAATATGAGATGATAGAAAAATAAGTTGAGAACATGCATGAATGTTACAAAATACGCTTATCAATAAAAAAACAGCTTGTTTTTATATAGAGTGCTTCATGCGGAGTAGCATTTCAGAGCGCTCATAAAATAAGATGTAACGAGTGGGATGTCCTCCCGACGTGAAAGGCGCTCTATAAATGGAATCGTGTTGTTGTTGTTGTTTTATGAATATTTTGGGATTGTTTTCAAGTTGACTGATAATCAGAGATACAGAGGTTGTTTTTCACTGGATGTACCTCCTGTGTGCAATGACTGGTTCCTAGGGATAATAGAAGCTGTAGCAAAAGAATTCTTCAACAGTGAAGTGGAGATGGAAATTCTTAACCAATTGGAAGAAGAAGAACGCACAGGAAAGAAGGAACATGTTGTTTTTCTGGTTGTACAAAAGAAACTTCCGCCACAGCTAAAAACACAGTACAAAGGCAAACCATTGGACCATAAGGTACACTAAAAGGTTAAATATGTACAGCTGACATTTCAGCACCAAGTTAATCTCCACATTTCAGCTCACATGTGGCAAAATGGTCATCATTATCCAGCAAAGGAATGACCAGCATTGTACTATAATATTTACAAGCAGATCAGCAGAATGCAGTTGCAACTGAATTGAGGGTAATGCTTAACCTTCTTGATTCTAGTGGGAAAAAATAATTTCTCAAATCTGTTTAGCAGTTATAAGAACTACGCAAAGAGGGCTTGAATGTTCACATGGTTCTTAATTGTGTCTGGTAGCATTTTATATTTCACTCACCCATTTTGGGGTCATGATGATATGAATGAAATAAAGTCTAGAGTGCATTAGTTAACCTGGAGCCTAGAGGCACTTGAGCCACGAGTCAGAAGGTTTTGGCTTCAAGTACCTCGCTGTGAGTTTCAACTCATAGTCTATGTTGACACTCCAATGCAGCGCTGGAGGCCATACTTCAAATGAATCATTAACCCAAGGCCCATCAGGTGGATGTTAAAGACCCCATGGCACTATTTAAAGTAAAGGGAGTTTCTCCCAGAGTCTTGTCAAAGAATCCCTCATATAAATTTAGCCATTCACTTCATGGCTGTTTGTGAGACATTACTGTGCAGAAATTGCCTGTCACATTTGCCTACAAAATTCAGTCACTACACTTTACAGTAAATCGTGTGAAGTGCTTTGAGACATCCTCCCGACATGAGAGGCACTATATCAAATGCAAGAATTATTACAGTATCAGGGTAGCATCCTTTCTCAATTAAAGGTGGAATTCAGAAACTGAATCCCTTTCAAATTAAATGTATTTTAGGTTTAAATTTAGAAAAAAACAATTGTGCTTGGGCAATTCCATTAACAAACAAGATGTTGAATGTCAATCTCTAATTCCCATCAGAATAAACTAACAGTAAAAATATTATGATAATATCCTTATAATGATCAGACAAGAATACTTAAATAAATGAGGACTAACCACAATCCAGTAGTAAACATTTCCTCTCCTACTACATATTCTGTATATAGATTGAGAAGGCCACGAATAACATGAAGGAGAACTATGTTGCATTACCTGATTGCCCAGTGAAGAGAACACATTGGGAAATTGTAAGAAGTATTGTCAAATTTGGTAAAGGTATGTTCTTTTATACACAATTATACATTGGATTGCAAGTAGAAAAATATATCATGCCCCATTGAAAGAAAGATCTAAGCATCATTCCATTTACTCAAATCACTCCTATTTCCTCCCTTTTTATTACTAGAAATCATTTTGGCTCCACAAATGTTCTGGGTTGTATTATTTGTTTACGTGCTGGGTTGCCCTATCCTATGTTTTCCATTCTTCTCTTCTCTTTTCCTTAAGTTATTTACTTGTGTTGGATTGTGATGATACAGGTGCTGCTGTCCTCTATTTACCTGACTTATGTGGCCATTCTTCCTGTGAGCCTGAGTGTTAACCAGCTAATTTACTGTGGGACATCATTAGCAAGTCCAATCATCTTGTGAAGCCTAAAATTCCTCATGATCTCATTAATTGTTAAGAACTGGAGAAAACTGCCTTGCAGATAAGAGTATAATAATTTGCAAGGTGAAAGAAGATCAAGATTCATCTAGCTCGCCTTCCACATTTGTCTCCCTAGGGAGCTTGTTCCATAAGTTTACTACTTGCTCACTGAAGTAGTGTTTCTGCAAATTTTTTTTTAATTTATCCTCCTTCAATCGCAGGCCGTGTCCTCTGGTTCTACCGTTCAATACAAGATTAAAAAAAGCTTATCATGGTCTACGTTATCTATTCCCTTCAGAATCATATCGCCCCATCAACCTTCTCTTCTCCAGTGTGAACATGCCCAGTTTATTTAATCGTTCCTCATAGTCCAGTCCCTCCATCCCCTCAACCATTTTGGTTGCCCTCCTCTGTATCTTTTCAATTGCTGCAATATTCTTGACCAGAACTGCCACAGTATTCCAAGTCTAGTCGCACCAGTGATTTATAAAGTGGGGATTACCCCACTATTTCAGCTCAATATTGCCCTTTTAATACAGCCTAGCATCTGGTTTGCCTTACTCACTGCTGCTGAGCACTGTTGCGATAGCTTCAATTTATTATCAATTAGGATCCCCACGTCCTTTTCATTTTCCATACAGATTATTTTCTTACCATTGAAATAATAGTAACTTCCTAGATTTTTGTCCCCATGTGAAGCACTTTGCATTTCTCTACATTAAATTTCTTCTGTCATTGATCTGCTCAATTCCCAAGAATGTTCAAGTCCTCCTGTAACCTCTCCTGTTCATCTTTGCATCACCTGCAAATTTAGCCACTGCTTGTGATTACTAGCTCCAGATTGAAAGTCAATTGAAGGCTTTCCCAAAGTTCTCCATGATCTCCTTTGAACTGTGATGAAGTTTCCTTCAGGGTGCACTGACTAGGGATCAGGGGCAGGATATCTGTCTCCTCTCAGTTACAGACCTTCTATCCCCACCACTTCTGTTAATTCAACATGAATCAGAATTTTTGAAATGTACAATATGAATGATATTTATGTAGTGCCTTTCACATCGGGAGGATATCTCAAAGTGCTTAACAATGCTGGATTGGCACCCGAGCTGGGGATAGGGGTGGGAGACAATGACGAAACGCATGGTCAAAGATGTACATTTTGAGAAGTGGCTTGAATGAGGAAAAAGAGAGAGAGAGTCAGAGGGATAAGGTTCCAGAGAGCGCAGAATGGCTGAAATCCCATCCACCAATGATAGGGAGGATAGGGCAGGGGACATGAAGATGCCAGTAATGCTGAGTGAAGGGAGCATCCTGGTTGGTGTGGATGAAAGAGGTTGCAGAAGTAGAGTGGGGATTTGAACAACAGAACAAAGATTTCGACAGAGTTTGAATCATTTGGAAAAATCAAGACAGGAGGTCATGAAAGCGTGAATGAGGGTTTCAGCAGCATTTGAAGTAAGATAGGGGGAGAGAGAGGTAATATGGTGGAGGTGGAGTTTGGCAGTCCTGGTCAGGAACAAGAGGTGAGAGGATACTGATGGAAGGCAAGCAGGAGAGCCTCTATATTGTCAATTTTCAACAGAAGATAGTTAGAGTTCATCTAGGACTTGATGGATCTGAGAACACCTGTATAAAGCACACAATCAAAGACACTCACATTAATACAGCTTCACTAGTCAAAGAAGAATAATGTAATGAGTATTTGATAATTATTGTATGTGACAAACAAAATATGTCATTGTAACTCAGGTGACCAAAGCAAATTTGCACAAAGAACTCATTGCAGTTAAATGGAGAGATAAGTGGGAATGATGACGAAGTAAATATTTTTTACACAGTGGTGTTTAGTTTCACATTGATGCTTAATTCCACTTTAAAGGACCATATATTGCATATTCTATATTGTATGAAGGGTAATGCAATTACCAAATGTATTTCTATTATTAGGTAACTTGCTGAGTATCTTTCAGCCAGTTTATCCTGAGAATCTTTGGATAGATACAAAAGCTTTCTGCAACACATTTCCTTTCCATATTGTCTTCGACAAAGAGGTAAGATTTCTTGATTTGTTTTGCCCCTATGCAAATTAGGCTGTCATATCATTGCCTAAACTGTTTTAAATGATTGGATAATGTAAATGTTACAATCATATTTACACACATTATTGTCTAGATTGTCTAAACATTCAATATTTTCTTTTGGTTGCAAACTTATTCCAAACTTCCGTAATAATCAGTGTGTTTTTAAAGCAAGAAATTCAAGGTCCAAAGTGCATTGACCTGAGATCTTTCCCTATGAATGGCACAAACATTAATAGAACTATTGTTCCTTTTTGATACAGCTGAAAGTGAAACAGGCAGGAATTAATATTCAGAAGTACGTCCCAGGATTACAAACCATGAACGTTCAGATTGATAATTATTTCACTGTTACCCACCCAGAAGTGACATTTACAATTAGCAGCATAAGAAAGTTTATCAACAGTCCATTTGTCTTGAAAACGCGAAGAGAAATGATGCCTGGATTTTCGAAAACCACACCAATGCTGGAACTCCGAGGTATTCAGACATTTTTACCTGAATCATATATATTATTATATGCAATCATATAAATTATAAGTGATTTGTGGTGTTCAATAATCGGCACTGGCATTTGGGTTAGACATTAATTTCTAAAATAATACTTACTGAACAATATTTGTAATGGTTAAATAAATTCTAATGATACTCATAATCACTAGGACATAATGGGTGGAACTGTGTTGCTTAGTAAGGTTAAAACCCAGCAGTGGGGACAATTAGAGATCAAATTTATGGTATTCATTAAACTAACAGTGACGTTTAATTATCGCTGCAATTAACAGTTGTTTAATGAGAGCTAATCTATCCTGTGATACATTAACTGGCTACTGGTAACAATGTGTCAGTCAACCTTCCCCTTTTCTCCTTCTCCCTGACCCAACCTCAATATGAAAATAAGGCTAAGACCAGGATTGAGCTTGAGGCCCCTTTCTCAATCTAATTAATAATAATATTTTCTTAGCTAGGTTGAACACAGTTTTCACCGCTCACTTAAAAATCCCGCCAGGTGCTGTTTGTGATGCCTGAGTCATTAGAATCTGACTGTCCAGATCTGATTGAGCTGTTCTTCATTTAGGGCAAATGGTGTGGATGGAGTCCATGCAGTGTATGCTTTACCTGTGTTCGCCAAAACTCTGTAGTCTCCACGAACTGGAGGAGAGAAAGATGCACATCGCTGACATTGCTCTGCATGACACAACCCGTGACCTGATCCTCCTGAATCAGCAGCGGCTGGCTGAGATTGAGCTCTCCAATCAACTGGAGCGCAAGAAAGAGGAGCTGAGGATTCTGTCCAAGAACCTTGAGACTGAAAAACAGAAAACCGAGACTCTGCTGTATGCTATGCTACCGGAGCATGTTGCTCATCAGCTCAAGGAAGGCAAGAAGGTAGAAGCAGGTAAAGGTCCTCTCCCACAGTTCGAATCACTGTAAAATTATCACAAATAGAGTTGATAACTTAGTCACTGAAAAGATAGTTGCTGGTAAGTACGCAAGATCACAAGGCAAGTTCAAATAAAATAAGTCCATTGTCCCAGTTGATCTCATCCTTTCAGAACATCAACGCTACTGTTTTCCCAATTTTATTGCCTTCACCCTACTGCCTTCCTATTATAACAACTACTGAACTCTTAAATAAGTCCATTGTCTCGCTGCCTTAAGCACCCTTTCTGTTAGCCTGTATCAGACATTAATTAGACATCACTTCAATGTACTTTATATAAGTACTCCTCATATTTGAAGCGCTTTGAGATATCTCAATGACATGATAAGGTGCTACATCAAATACAATTATTGTCATTAATATTATGCAGTGGATTCTGGTTGAAAACTGCAAATAGTGGGACAAGCAAGTGCTACCAACTGAGTCACACTTTGTTTAAAAAGGAGATATGGACATATACAGGCAAAATAAAGATATTAAGGGGTATGGAGAAATGTAAGGCAGGGAAATTAGATTAAAAGATTTTTCATGATCTAAAAATGTCATCATGTGAGAGGATTGATTGGCTTCCTTCTACTATTTATCCAGTGCAACACTGCACAGCTAAACCATCCAAAATCAAATGAAAATTTGGTTCAGTTGTCCACTAGCCGGCAAGCTTCCCATTCATTTCCTGTGTGGGGATGAGTTTCATTGTGATGCATGTTTGTGCTTTATTTCAGGAGAGTTTAAAGAATGCACCATCCTCTTCAGTGATGTAGTGACTTTTACCAATATATGTGCAGAATGTGAACCTATCCAAATTGTTCACATGTTAAACTCCATGTACTCCATATTTGATCGGCTAACTACTGTTCATGATGTTTACAAAGTAAGTTTATACTGGTCAGGATAACATCCAAAAAAGTTGAAGTTGAACTTGACAGCTTTTTACAAACTTGACAAATTTGAAACATATGATCAGATAAAAGAAAGAATTTACATCTTTATAATATCTTATCACATCACAACATGTGAAAACATTTCACAGGACATTACTGTTAGTTGGAGTTTCATAGAATTAAATGAAATGTAGAATGTATAGCACTCAAACAGGCCACTCGGTCCAATTAGTGTGTGCTGGTGTTTATATTCCTCCAATCATCCTAATCCCCATAATTTTAAAATAAATGAGAATTTCTATTAGAATGCAGTTGGATTTTATTTATTTTGTTATTTTATTGGATTTATTGAAGTTGGATTTTATGGATTTTACTTTATTTAAAATCTATTTTACAAGAGATTTTATTTTACTTAGGACTCACAATTAATGATTGTTCCAGTGTTAATGAGGAATTGTAACTGTATCTATGGACATGATTCTCCTCGGCTTGCCCCAGTGCCAGGAGCCAAATATTTTGACAATATTTGTTGGCAATCATTTGTGCCAACAAGTTCTCAACCGCTGTGATACATTCTACAATTGGAATCGATCAGATTTTCTACCCAGCTGAATCAGGAGAAATTCTTGAATTCTGGATGATTTCTTTCTCCCAATTCTTTCTCTCAATTGGTCAGCAATCTGTTTGGCAACAATAAATAGATAGAGATAATTGAGTTTCAAGATCTTATTTGTAGCTACAGTAGTTGCTTTATTAACCTCTTATCAATTGTAGGTTATGATTTATTTGCTTATTTTTATTAAATGACCCTGCATGGAATTTTCTGGGACTTGAAAGCAATGTGAAAGTAAATCAGATTACAAGTGAGTTACCCCAGACACAACAAGACACTTGAGTTCAGTGAGACACTTATTACAGACACTATTGTACTGATTTATATAGTCAATGCTGATGACATTTTCAAATTGAGTATTGTACTTATGCTTCTACTGTATCTCAAAAAAGCAAGATGGAGTTCATCAGTATGTATTAGGTTAATACCAACAATTGCTACCAATGTCAGACTTCTGATTCCATTCATAAATCCCTTGGGCTGTACTCTTATGCTATAATCTCCCAATTGATTAACCCTTGTAACATATTGTCTGCTATCTGTCACCCAATATATAATTAACTGGACTTTGAACATAAAGCTAAGCTAAATTATCTTCAACATGGTACCACACCCATTTTGGAACATAATCTGTCAGCCGATTGAAAAATTAATCCAAATTTGATAAGGACAATGAACAGAGAGTAGAGTAGAGGGCACCTCTACTGAACTGAAAATGGGTGCACTGACATAAGATTTTTCATTTAAACAGGCAAAGGAGACCTAATCCATCAGGAGATTTAAACTAAATGGTAGGTGTCTTTACTAACATGATGATTTAAATTACCTGTAGTTGAAATGCGTATTTTAATTAATTCCTTAGTTCTGAGAGGATCGTAACGTTTCTTATTTGACAATGCAATTTGGGGAAAATCTGTTAAATAATGAAGAGCTCAAAAGGAGGATTCATCGACTCAGAAAAGCTTGGACTTGTTTAGAATAAACCCAGAGGAAAATATTAAACTCGTCTTATATTTTACCAATGGTACTGAAATCCTGCCAAATCTTCAAATAGCTGAATTCGCAGCTTACTCTGAAGGAATATTTTATGCAAAGTACAAAAATCTGAAAAATCTAGAAGTTGCTGATTATTTTAACGGGAATTATTGTGCTCTGTGCCTGTTTGTAGGTTGAAACCATTGGGGATTCCTACATGGTAGTTGGAGGTGTTCCCATTCCTGTTAAAAGCCATGCAGAGAAAGTCGCTAACTTTGCCTTGGGTATGAGAATCGCTACCCGAAAAGTGATCAATCCAATCACTGGTGACCCTATTCAGGTATGCAGAAACAAAGTCAACCATTGTGTATACAAATGCAGAATTAAGTAAAGCTATTACAGAGAGTGTGAAACACATAGAAGATATACAGCATTGAGTAACAGCCCTGTAATAGCTCTATACAAGAATTGTACCAATTGGTATTAGTTGCAGACTGTGGTTCTGTCTTATTATTATGCATATCCCTCATATCTGAACACTGCCGGCACATTCAGCATTGTGTGTGATGTGCACCCAAGAGAATGAAAAGCAAGTCACAGAATTGCTGAGGTGATGGATGCTAGTTACTGGTCAAAAGTCTGACAGTTTTTACATATTAATTTTCAAACCACAATAATTCAAAAAGGAACTACAGCAAAATAGCCTTCTAGAAATCAATATTACAGATTTTTAACATATTACCTTAATCTACCAGCCACTTGTGGCTAGTTAGATTGGTGGAGCCCTGAGGCAGTATTTTGGAACACTCTGTTTTGGAGCAGCGTTGCAGATCCTTTCATTCCTGTTCTTTCAGCTTTTCTGCTACATTTGCCCTAGTCCAATTGTATTTAATAAACTTACTGGTTGCTCAGAAAATAACTTCTCTCTCCTGCTTTTGTGTATCACACATATAAGAGTCACTCTTCGATTTTGAGTTGGTTAGGGTCCTGCCATTATTTTGAACAGAACTTTTGTTGTCAGGGTGAGTACAAGTGGCTGCCAGCTGAGAACATGTAAATCCAGTGCAAATTCACTAGGGTGCTACCAGATATAAGATAATACAGTGGAACCCTATTACAATGTAGTGGTTTGGACTCATAAAATCCCAATCCGCACTATAATGAAGCACGACAGACAAGTCAGTTGGCTTGTTCTGTGCCACTGGGTGTCCTGGGTTATTAAGTCACCCTCTACACTGATTCTTCTGCCATGCACAAAGCAGGAAGTGAGGTCCGTTTCAACCTTATTTCCTGGAAGTTGGTTGTTTGATTTTCCAAGGCGAGTTGGCCCAGTGGCTATGGGAATGTAGAAGACCTGACCAGCAATCATGCTATGTTATAGCGCAGGTTGGGATTTTAAGAACCCTCAACTAAGGTGTCATAATAGGGCTCCACTATATATATTCAGCTATCACCAGTTTCTTCTATTTTGATGTGTATTACATATTTTTGCATTACATATATATTTCTAGATCTCTATTTTGACGCGGATCCCTGGCCGTCCAACACCTTGGGACATCCTCCTGACGTGAAAGGCGCCATACAAATGTAATTTGTTGTTGTTGTTAACATATCAGAAAAAATTGCTTTGCAACTCATTGTTACTCTGTCAAAAGATTTGTGAGTGTACTAACCTTCAACAAAAAGCTGATAGCAATGAAGTTGGTAAATTTATCTCACCTTCCTCCCCCCACCCCATATTTGATTTAGATCATCAACTCTTTCTTCTTCTATTACTATATATATATAATATATATATATATTAGATCCGAGTTGGCATACACACCGGACCAGTGTTGGCTGGAGTAGTTGGAGAAAAGATGCCGAGATACTGTCTGTTTGGTGATACAGTTAATACTGCTTCAAGGATGGAAAGCCATGGAGTACCAGACAAGATCCATCTCAGTCCTACAGCATACAAGTACATATACTGCACCATCATGAATGAATTTTCACAGGATCTAATGAGATCCATTGTTTTAATTGGGACTTCCAGTTTGAGAATATCAGAATGTGAAATTCATAATGTAAAAAAATAAGATGTAGATTTTTTTTTAGCAAAGTGTCTGAACTGCCAGATAGATATAATGTGTGTTTGCTTCTATAATTCTAATTGCCGTGAGTATATTGAACTAATCGCAAACCTCAAATTGTTAAAGTCAAAAACCAACAAGGAAAACAATGGCCAGAATTAATTCTGAGGTTAATTTCGAGATATCCCTCATATCTGAGCACTGCCGATACATTTCAGCATTGTGTGTGATGTGCACCCAAGAGTAGTGCATGAAAAGCAAGTCAGATTAGGAAGAGTTAGATTAGGTGCTTTTACGTAGAATTTTTTTTCAAGATATAGGAGAGATAACAGGAAATTACAAAAGGGACAATAGGGCAAACATTTTATTTTCAACTAAAATTCCTTTTGATTGTGTGCTGCTCCTGAAATTATATGAATAGCTATGCATCTATAATAATGTTTTGATTTATGATTTATTCTAAGTGCTGTACACTGCCAAGTGTCCTCCCGACCTGAAAGGCGCTATACAAATGTATTCTTGTTGTTGTTGTTATGAGTCAGCTAGAAATTTAAAAACCCTTCAGCCGGAGATGTAATTAATCCCCTGGACCTGTTGTTATCTCTCCTATAGCTGGAAGCTGGAAGGTTACTGGACTTTTTAATACTATAAAATCTGACTTCCAAAATGGGATCTGAATTTAAGAGTTTTCCACAGTTCTGAGTTATTTTAAATTTGAAACAAAATGGTCTTATAAGCTAAGACTAGATGAAATGTTAGGCTGATTGATGGTTTAAATAATGGAAGTTTTCATTCATATCTGGCGTATGATATATTTGACTTTGGACTTCTTGGATAATGAAACTGAATTAAAAAAATAGAGAAATACAGTATTTAATTTCCCCCTCAGCTCATATATTCATGCAAGAATTAGTTTTACTGGGATGGCCCATTTATCTGTATGCAATTTGTTTCAAGATTGATGATTGCTCTTTATAATTTTCTACAGAGCCCTGCAGCACAAAGGCTTTAAAATATTGCCACGGGAAGAAATTGAAGTCAAAGGCAAAGGAAAAATGTTAACTTATTTCCTGATCCACAACTTGCATGCCACTGAAGATGCCATCATGGGTAGTCCAACACAAGGCAATGGAAGAGATTTGGCTCAGCCAACTGATGAAAACATTGAGAAACCTGACCACAACGGTAAGCTGAAATGGAGGAAGAGTAGCATTTTACAAGCTCACTACAATCAACAACAAATTACATTTGTATTATGCCTTTCACATCAGGAAGACGTCCCAAGGCGCTGGACAGTCAAGGATCCGTACTTGAGCTGGTGTTGGTATATGGATGGGGTTAGGGGTAGGAGGGTGACCAAAGGCACGGTGAAGAAAAGGTCTTGAGACGAGTCTTGAAGGAGGCAAGGGAGGGGGCAAGGCAGAGGGAATGTGGGATGGAGTTCAGAAAGAATCCTCACGAAGGGCCCTATATGAATGCAAATTGTGGTTGTTGTTGATAGTTGTTTTCATAGAATTAATATTTTGAAAAGTGCCTTTAAGGTGCCACATAGAAAGGTTGTTAGGAAAAATATAAGATGTAGGTATTGTTTTTTTTCAGTGAAGTGTCTGACTTGCCAGAGGAGTATAATGTGTGTTTGCTTCTATAATTCCAATTGCCATGAGTGGATAGATTATTGGGTAAAATACCAAGCTTAGGTAAAATGCTTCCTATGGGAAAATTGAAGTGCAAATTGAAGCTTAACCTCATCTGTATTTGTTCTCCACTCTCAGGCCTTCATAAATCTCACTCTGCATTTGAACACAAGGTCCACTCTGTGTCCAGTTACATATTAGGTCATCATCTCATTTTTCCCCAACTTCTCTATGATTAGATGCCTTGTTTCTAAGCAATGGCTCCCTCTTATGGGCCAGACAAGAATATGTTTAATTGAACTCCACACACTTTGGGAGTCACCCAGATCCAATGTCAAGACACGCTGGAACAATAATCATGGGATAAAAAGTATTCTAGCAGTCTGATTCCTGTTTGTTACAAATGATCTAGCCATTTAACTCCCATAAATAAACTGAACATTGACAACATGTTAAAGGAAAGGAACAAAAGCAAGACTCATTGTTGATGAGTAGAAGTAATATTGTAATATAAAATAAAAGACTAAATGTAGATGGCATTCACAATCTAACCAGAAAGTATTGCAGATTATAATGAAAAACATCATTTTGGTTTACGGAAATCACAGTTAACCTATTGTTCAATTTGCAGAACAAAATCATAATGAAAATCCAGAGTATGGGACTATTGCTCTGAGATAACTGATAGTTAGAATCCAGTAATATGCAGTCTCACATCTGTTGGTGAGGACTGTCTAAATATTATAAGGTCTCTTTGGAGTTCAGCCTAACATCTATCTGAATTTTCAGAGCACAAAGGCAAAGAAACTAATGATCAAAATATTGTAATAAAAAAACACATGGGTTAATGGGTTAAAGACCTTTACACAGAGGTCATGGGAACTCTCTCCAGTCTCTCATAGCTTCTGGGTGGCTTTAGCAACATTGGTTTTACTGTGATACCCTGAAGCTGGAGGATAAGAGGGCAGGGATTATGGATTGTTGAGAGAAATGTTAAGACAAGTACCGGGAAGTATTTCCGGAACAGGTTACCTGGAAGGATGGTTGAGGTCAGAACACTTGACACTGCAATAGAGGATGAGAACAAATGGACCAAAGGATTTTCATCCATCTAATGATCATTTTGGGATCTACCTGAGCTTTGGATTATCCAGAAATAATTTGTTAAATGGGTCAGGTGGTTAATGGTCATGAACCTGCATAATTTGCCGAGTTGAATGATTTATGGTAATATATTAGAAGTTGATTACTTTCTCTTACAATGTGAGAATGATAGGAGTTGAAATTCCAGGAGAAAAAACCTTAAAAGAGTTTTTGTTTCATGCCAATCCATTTACACTCAAATACTCCAGGTGAGGTATACATCTTCCAGTAAGTGGGAAATGATGCAGACAATCACATCCTGGCAGATGATCAGCCCTCTGACTGCCTCGTCAAAGAGATTAACTAACTAGGGAGAGCAACTAGCCAAAGCTGAAGCATAGAGTCATTCAACTCACCCCATACGTTATCCATAACTAGCAAATTATTTGAATCCGAGTAAGCTCTGTTGCCTTTAGAAGCGATGCTAGTTGGCTAAGGCTTCTTTATCCTGTGTATTGCTTTACAAGAATATACCAACCATGAAAATCTCCTGCATAATCACTTTGAACAGTACGTAATAGTTTGAAAAAGTTTAACACTGTTCATGGGGTCAAAACTATTTCATTACGGATCAGACCACAGTATTGCCAACTCTAAAGTACATGGTCTGTTAAAGACACGTTTTGGCAAATATTAGTGGAAAGTACAGGAATAAAGTATGAATAGATATATATAACTACTTCATAAATATCATATGAGGTATTTTTCAAAATCTCTTCCTCTTCATTAGAAGGGCAATACATTTTAAGGATTGTTACAAAGATAACAGTACATATTTGGCTAAATAAAAAGCAAAGAGTAAATATTGCCATTACCACCATTCTTCCCCACGTGCAAACATCACTAATAAATGTAGCCAATTGTACAGATATGCTACATAATGCATGAGCTTTTATTTTATTTTAGTCTATACTTTTGCAAATGGAGAGTGTTGAGATTAATTTGTTTTCTCACTTTGATGATAAAGAAACCAATGGATTCCAAAGTAACAGTGGCCCAGGTACCATTGCAATTTCCAGAGGAGAAAACGCAGAAGGAGCGGGACTGGACCTGAACAATAAGGAGCCTGTCCACACAAGAAGCACAAACTCAAAGTTATGTGTTATATTATAAACTGAATACAAAACTGTAATATACAAATGACCAGTACCTTAGCTCATTGACCAAAGTTTGATTTGTCCTTTTTGACTCTTGAATTATGCTGAAACAAAATAATTATATATAATGCAAATAAAGCTATGTTTCAAACATTTGTTTTATGTTTTAAAACAAATTTTATTTGTTTTAAATTCTTCCGAATACATTATAACCAGCCAGCATGACACCTGGCTTGGACACTTGTGAGTTTTGTAACAATATGAGCTTTCTACTGTCCATAGGTCAATTGAAGAGCTAACGTTTTAAATGACTGTTAAATGCATAAATGGCAACGGTCACTGTGAAAATGGTATGTTTACATTAGATTTCTGTAACATGAGTCATGCACTGTTTGGATAAGATGTAATTGCTGCTTTGAAATGTCATCAATGTTATTTTCTAATAAACACAACCTAGAATGTCTTATACTTATATTATAATTAGTCTTAATAATTATATTATTATACACGCCTAATAATAATCCCTCCAAAACAAAAACAATAATAAAAATTGGTCATTTTCAATCTACGACTGTTTGTGGGACATTGCTGTGCGCAATTGGCTGCCGCGTTCGCCCACAAATATACAGTCAATTCACTTTACAGTCTATTCTGTGAAGCGCTTTGGGACGTCCTCCCGACGTGAAAAGCGCAATATCAAATGCAAGGATTATTATTATTATTATTATTATTACATGTATAAGCAGTATGAGAGACTGAGGATTTCAATGTAACAATCTAATATTTTGCAAAGTATTATGGATACTTGATTACTTTTGAATTCTGTAAATCACCAGTGCAACTCATTCAATTGAGCATTCAAAGACATGTATTGCCAGATTCAATAAAGGGGCAAATTAACCCATTAAGAATTGTTTATTCTGTAGTAATAATTTGTATTCATATGTTGTATTCTGTCTGTATAGCTATCTTTATTCTTGTAGTTTGGTGTAATTAAAGCTAGATGTTACTTTAACCTGGAACTACCTGTACTAGTCCATGTCATTATATCTATCTGTTGAGAGTATATTCACAAGTAAAATCTAATTCCAAACTGTGTTTGATCAGGTTGTATAGTTCTGCAAAGGTAGAGTAACAGAAGAGAAAGCTGGATTATAAAGGACAAAGGGAAAGAATTTTGGAGAAAAAAGTCTGATTGCAGAAACAATACTGTTGAAGGAGTAAGAGATCCAGTGATTCCCAAAGAAATGAAAACTGAAGTTTATTAGCACAAGAAAAATTGTATGGAGGTCCCTTAGCAGAGAGGAAAATGACTTGGAAGTAATTATTGATCATTGGTTATGATCTTAGAGTCCAGGCTAGCACACCAATGCTGTACTGGTGAAGCAATACATTGGTGGAGGTGCAATCTTTTGGATAAGATATTAAGCCAAAGCCACTGTCTGCCTTTTCAGATGGAGAGTTTCTGCTGGTGTCCTGGCTACCAATCCCCTTCAGATTAACTGGTCATTTGCCTTGTGTAAATTCATCTGGTGTCCTGGCTACGAATGCCCTACAGATTAATTGTTCATTCATCTTGTGGCTGGCAGCAAAGGCAATTACTTCCTTTGGCAGCAAATTCATATGAAATTGATATGTTCAATGTACAGGCAACCATATGAAATTCAAGGATTATTGTTATTGATCTAAATCCACAAAAGGAAGATAATCTATTTGAAGATATGAAGATTTATTCTACATGTTTAAATACTTTGTAATCTATCACAAGTTAAAATTAGATTGATTTTAGAAGACCGCAATGAACAGCAATGAGAACATTATTTAAAAAAGCACAAAATATTTCCTTAAAGAATCCTGGAGGATAAAGCCCGATCCTAGATAATTCCTTTTAAACTCTGCGTACTGTATTTTCATTTATTCCACCTCACTGATAAATGAACAGACTGTATTCACACAGAAAAAAATATAGGGCACTACATCAATGATACCTTTTCACAAATGGTTTGTCGATGATACGCTGCCCCGTGTGAAAGGTGCACTATGAATGCAAGATGTCGTTCTTGATAGAAGGCCTGCCCGTCCAGGCAATTCATGATTTTCCCAATAGCAAACTGACCTGGATCTTTTCAGTATCGGATTTCCTATTGTAATATGGATGTTCCCATCAAGTATGCATTGGTGTTTTTCTGCTTGTGAACCTCTTTCTCACTCCCCCATTCTTTTTAATATTCCTCTAATACCTCTATCTAATCACCTTTAAGAAAAAAATATACTCTGCCTCAACAACGAGTGTCAGTAGAGATTGTACTATGAAGATAATTAAACTAAATTAAATATCTCAAAGGCAACCGGGTCAAAAGTGATACACCCTACGAGACTTAAGGAAATATGTGAGAGGAAATATATGAGTTCTGGTCAATATTCATAGGAGCTCCATATACTCTGGAGCTATACGCAAAGTCTTGAAGATAGCAAATATTATCCCTTTACCAAAAAAGAAGACATAATCCTAAAAATTATAGACCAGTTAGCTGTAATCTATAGTGGGGAAAAGTGTTGTGAGTGTTACACAGGCTGCTATCGATACTCATCTGCATAGTGCAGAGGTATTAAAGGTAATTACACTGATTTCTAAGCAATAAGACAAGCTTCTTGCATTTACTGGCATTACTTGAGGAGGTAATTAAAGTGATACATGAAGCAAAAGCAAATCAAATGGAGCTGTAAAGTGACCAGTCTTCATTTGTAACAAGTGATGTGAAAAATAGTTTTAACACATCTGCCATCTCTTGATTTCTATAGCCTCTAGAATGCTGTCTACTGATTTTAAAAACAGATTTAAAACATAATTGGATTGCTGAAACTAACTCCCTTTGGAGAGATATAACACTGGAGCACACTCCACACATAATGGGAAAGAGACAGAATAATCAGATAGACATCACAGATTTAAAGATGGACAAATACTCAATTGACAGAATAATCTTTATTGTGTCTTGTTATTTTTAAAATGATGGACAGTAATTAAAGATAAAACAAGTGCAAGCAGAGCAGTACGCTCCATGATAAAATGCCGGGGTTACTGATAATACATCAAAAATATGAACAATGCAATTTCCATGTCTGAGTAATGCTCCATGGAATAGAATCAATCTTTAAGAATCAGTCCTTGTAAATTAATTCCTATTTTAGATGAAGGTTAAGGAAAATTGTGTTTCAGATGTTTTTCAAAACTGAGTCAAGCCAGCCTGTAATTCCACTGATGTAAAAAATCCTAATTTCATTGATCATTAATCTGGTTGGCACGGAAGTGCTAGTAACAGGCAAACAAGTGAAGCTCTGGTGATTAATTAATGCCACCAACGGCAAAATATGCACTGAGCAATTTCTGCCTCACACCTTTATTTGCACAGATCAGAATCTAATTCATTCTGCGTCTTTGTGTTTAACTCTGGAGGGAACTTGTAAACACTTAACAAGATCCTAGATTTGTTTCCCGAAATGAAATGTATTTAGATTTTATAAAACATTTATTTCCGACGATACTTATTCGACTCAAACACAACATTATAAACGGTTTTATTTCCTCTTTTAGAGCCTTAGAATAAAGTTGATTTCCAAATATGATTTAATATCCATTTTCTGAAAAAAATTGTTTACTAGCAAATGTTTTCCTGTACCCCTTCCTATAGAAATTGATGAAACAGCCTGAGCCCATCCAACACATTGTATTAATAATCCTTGCAGTTTTTTTAATTAGTAAATATTGTATATTGTTCTTAGTATATTGTTTTTCCAGTGAAGCCATCTATCCAAATCCCAATGCTCTGCTCTTTCCCTATAACCTCTTATACTCTTCCTTCAAACGTACAGATCTATATCTAATTCCCTTTTAAATGCCGCAATCTACTGTGCTCCAACAATCCATTCCTGGCAAATCATTGCATATTCTATTTCCCATGTGAAAGAAAGTTCTTCCTAATTTCAATTTTTAAACTTTTAATTTTAAATTAATATCCTCTTGTTCTCAAGGTTTCTACCAGCAGAAAGAGTTGTTCAACATTTATCTTCTCAAACCCTTTCATTGTCTTAAATACTCCCACTGTACCATTTCTCAACTTTCTCTGCTGCAACAAAGAGTCCTAAACTCCTCGGCCTCTCATCACTAATTAATGTTGCACCCTTTCCTTCGTTCTAGTATCAGCTATAGTTCTGTATCCAAAACTGCACAGAATATTCCAGCTGCTCTCTAACCAATCTTAAAAGGATTCACCATCATTTCTTTAATTTTTGATTCAATAGCTCTGTATTTAAAATCCTCAATCTTATTTACCGTTTTAATACCCTTTTAACGGCCTTTTCTGCCTGCACTCCCATTCATATGATCTCTGTATTTGTACCCCAAATCCCTGTTGTCGCATTGAGAATTTTACCACATGTTGTTACACATTGAAGTCTTAGCTATAAAAAAGCACATTTATGAAACGTATAAAAATTTGGGGGTATTCTTTAAAAGGAAGATGCTTCCCCAGCTAACGTTTGCTTATAATTCTGCTAACAGTTTCTTAGCTGTTTTTGATTCTTTTGCTATTATGTTCTGAGCTCACATTTTTGTCAATTTTCTCTCCTCCTCTCCTGACTCTTGCTTAGTTCACTGGCGCCAACAATGGAGCCATCTCACCAACTCAGCCGTTATTTAAGTAAAACAACCATCTAGGTTGAAGAAATTCCTACTGAAATCTCCCCCATTTCTTTTGCTGACAATCCTGAGTTTTACCACCAATTCTCCAACTAAAATAGTTTTTCCTTAATTGCCTTAGCACATCCCTTCAGAATCTTACAAGACGTCTATCATAAACCCCTCCCAATCTCCTCTGTTGCAGTGGAAAAAGTCTGACTTTAACCAATTCTCTGCTTACATGTATTGTTTCATACCCTATACATGTTACTTTACACACTAGGCTTTTTGGGTAGGACTAAGGAGGGGGCCTATGTGGTTGTGATGATGCCATTTTCGTGTCATGGATTCTGAGTAAATGAGGCAAGTAAGAATTCAAAATTCCAGTGTAATTGTTAGTGAAAAATATTAGCCTCCCTTCATCTTTTCCGATATCAAGTAGTCATGTCATATACACACAAACAGCATCCCATCGTAAGTTCAGAAAGAAAGTGCTTTTGAAAGCCCTCCAGCATTCTACACCTTGCTGACTGGTGCGTAAATTTCCAAAATTAAAAGCAGATCCATGGCAAAATCTAAAGCAACTGTAGAAAATGTTCCCTGATTCAGTTTGGCCACTTTAGTAAAGTCAGATATGAAGACGACTCCATTGCAAGGTCATTGTCGGCTGCCTTTCTTTTGATTGCGTCTCTGTGTTGCTACCTAGAAGTTAAGAGAATAAATATTGAGAAAACTCAGTTATTTGAGTAAAGAATACTGAGTTTAAAAAAAACAGAATTCACTTCAAACTCAGAAAAATTGGGGTCAAAATTATGATATTCCTAAACACATTGCACTCCTTAGTTAAAGAACAAGGTTAACATTTGATTTGAAATACTTATGAATAACAGTAGCATAATCAAGGCTGAGAAGTCAAATCACCACAAATTTTGATTCCCTCAATGTAGGGATCATTTTTGAACAGGAAACATGTCACTTTGAGCATATTCAGGGATATTATATTGCATTAATGTTACTATATATTATAAATTTGTATAGTAACTCAATCTGATTTAGGGCAATATCCTGTCGATAAACCTGGCCACATGGTGTCCCAGACATTCAAGCTATCAGCAAACCTTGCTAGAATCTTAGCCTTAAACTGAGATTCACAACAGGATCTTTGATCAGCCATCTCAAACTCCTCTGACCTCAGGTCCTGACCTCAATTACAATGCCCGGGAAATTGGCATCGCATCCCAGATGAATTCCAGAGATTTGGCCAAGGCACATCAGGAATTTCACATCTATAAATCTGTTTGTGAATCTCGCAATTTAATTCTCATCATTATGCAAACATAGGAGAATAGGAGAGGTTCAATTCAAGAAGTTTTCAGACAGATCTGGAGACTGTTCACATGCAAGTGCCAACATTGTGCTAATTATTTCAGCTGTAATGATTTAAGTAAATAGTCATATATTTAACAATGCAACACATTATCCATCTCCCCCCCACCCCCCTCATTCTAATTATTGTCTTCCTTCTGTTACCAAAACACTTTTGCTGGGGTACTGTGGATAGGTCCATAATCCAAGTGACTCAATGGCTCAGGTGGTAGACCTCTTACCTTTGGTCTGAGGGTTGTGGATTTGAGCTCGTAGTCTATCCTGACAACTCAGTAGTCCTGGATGACTAAGACACCATCCTTCAGATGACATGTTAAAAACCACAATGTTGTCTGCCTATTCAAGTGTATGTTAAAAATCCCAGAACAATATTTAAAAAGAGAACCAAATTTTTCCAACAATCTTCCAGATAAATTGGTCATTCATGTCTTGGCTGTTTGTGGACTTTGCTATGGAAATTGGTTGCCTACAAAATACAGTCACCATGCTTGACAGCACTTACAAGTGAAGAACTTTGAGAATTTTCAACACTGCACGTACTGTTATATTATTGCAATTGCACAGATTATATTATAACAACAGGAAACCTGGCTGATTTTTCTTACTACGCAGAGACAAACTGTACAACAACTTGCATTCATTCTTTGCACAGGTAGCATCTCAGAGCGCTTAATAATGGTATAGCTTGATGCCGAGTCAGGGAGATAGGGGAGGTGATCAAAGGCACAGTCAGAGGAAGGTTTTCAGATGCAATGCAGAGCAACAGAAAACCATCAATATAAGCAATATCCAAACCAAACTACTGAGTTCCACATATGTATGGACATTTCCATTTGTCCATAATGGAACATATACTCTCTCCCTGGAGGGATACACCTGGCACATCTAATCCCAAAATACTTAAGCACAGAGGCAAAAGATAAGGCTTAGTAAGACCGCCATGTGCAATGGGTTATATATATTTTGATTATTCTTAAAATACTTTGCATTTGCATTGAAATTTGGGAAGAATGAAAACATTCATTTTGGGTGAAGTTTTAAAGGTGAGGTTTACAGTGCTGGGAAACATTTAAAATGTTATTCCCAAATGTTAGCATCAAGCATTCTAGGCCAGTTCATGTATTGTAAAACCCAATGCATCCATTGGGCAAGTTTCAATTTTGCATAATAAAATGCGGGCTTAGAAAGATTAAGTTGTCTTCCTAATTTTATAGCTTAATGACATGGCCTGTTAGTAGAACCCCCATGCAAAATCTCAAATGAATGTTAAAATAATAAAAATCGTTCTGATTTCATGTTAGTTTGGTTTCAAACATATTAGATACATGTAGTGAAATGACATTCTTGCTTACAATTTGCTTATTTTGTAATATTTCCTAACAAAGCTAACATCGTGTGCGCAAAAATGAATATACCATTTTGCATGGATTGTCAGCCAAAAACTACAAGCAATTACAAAAACACAAGTGAAATTTGAAATAAACAAACTTTTATTTGACTTTTATTTTCCTGAAGAAATTGATCAATTAAATGATCTATGATGGTCCTTTGTTCTTTGGGGCAAAAAAGGCAGAGATATTTTTCATTCCACTCTTGTCAACTTTGGCCAAAGATTTCTGTGCTGCTGTCATTTTGGAGGACTAAGGAAAAAGGTAACAGTTAATAATACTGTACAAATTTCATGAACACAATGATATTGTTTAAAGTTACAGCAAATAAGACTTTTATCCTAAACAGAATGCTGTTTGCTGATTTTAACCACACAAGGCTCTGGCATGAGGCAATATATGTGACAAGCGACTGACAGTGACTAAAAAATCACCTGTAGAATTTACTGAATCTTGACAGCTCTGCCCAAGGCATACAACTCTCTGAATCTGGGTAAGTAGTTTACTAATTTACCTCACTAGTGCATTTCAGAGACCATGTTTTCCACCATGTGCCAGTCATGGGATGGGAGCATCATAGCTCCAGTGATCCTGTACTCAACCACACCTCCACACTCATGCAATTTGCAGCAGGAGTTACTGGATAGCAATCAAAAATTATAGCAAATGAAAGCTTTTCTAATACTATATAGCTTCACAACTCAGAAATGATACTAAGTCAATGTAAGGACATGTACACTCGTAGCAAACGTTCCATGCATGAGCTGAATGTGAGGCAACTCCTCCCTGTTCTTTATCAATCACTGTTTTCTTGTCTTTGATTCAATGAAAGAATGTCTTTTGTAGATAGCATTAGGACAACTGATTGTCACTTGCTCTCAGCTCCAGAATGGAGGGTGGGAGGTAAGTGGCAGAGAACAAACAAGAAACTAATTTTAAAGTTAGATCTTTGGAAACATAAAAGTTTTGTTGTGATTACACAGAAAAAAACAAAGTTAAAAATGCAGATGCCACAATGAGAATGTGAAATAAGAGAACAGTAAGAAAGGGGAAGCAAAATTAAAATGCTATTTCTAAAAAAATTCTAATTGCACTTTAAATTACTATTAAGCATTGCTGGCATCTGTATTCCTATTATGTTCGAGCTTGTTTTAGTGTCACAGGATGCAAGTTAAAATCCTACAAAACTAGTTGGCCTAAAGAGAGGGATAATTCCAGGCCTGGCGACAATCTAAGGGTTAACAAATACATGCAGGTGGAGGGAATCAATTAGAAAGACTTACCTTTTTGTCCTTGGAATCGGAGTTGAACTTGGTGTAATCCTCTTCAGCTTCCACTGGTTTATCAGTCAGTTTCCTTTTCTGTAAATGCAGTTTACCAAGTTTTGTTCAACACAGGAAGCAATGTAGATGGATGCTACCCCATATGAAGGGTACTATATAAGGATAAGTGGTTGTTGTAGTAGGCAGGTTGGGCATTTCATTACAGTGAACAAAACATCCCAGCAAAAGTCAAAAACACTGAAAATGCAGCAACTCTGAATCATTGAAGTGCTGAATTTGGAAAATCAGCAGACAAACATTTGATGGAACTTAGAGAGAGAAATTCCACTTGAATCTAGATTTACTCTTTATACTTAGCATTTCAAAGTGTTCAGAGTTCAGCAAATTGTTCAGCAAATTCAATCTTAATTTAGAAGTCAGCTTTCTACAGTTCTGAAAAGAACTTGCAGAAAACCTGGCTTTAAAATTAAGGCTGCGTTTAAGAATTTGCCAAATTCTGATGCCCTGTATTACAGATAATTATCACCCGTGTCCTCTCCCGCACTAGGCTCCTGGATGAGAGCTAACTTTCTTCTGTTGAACGTCAACAAGACTGAGGCTCTCCTGATTTGCTCCCGTCAGCGCCTCCTCACCTCAGGCGCTGACAGCATCACCATCCATGGTTGCACACTCACCCTCAACTATCCTTTCTACCCCACATCTGCGCCATGAACTGCTCTGCCTTCCCCCACCTCCACAACCTCACCCGGCTCCGCCACTGTCTCACACCACAGGCCTCCAAAACCCTCATACACGCTTTCATTACATCGAGGTTCGACTGTGCAAACTCACTGCTTGTTGGCCTCCCCAACTCCTCCCTCCACAGGCTGCAGATCATCCAGAACTCTGCAGCCCGTGTCCTCTCCCGCACTAGGCTCTGCGACCTTATCGCCCCCATCCTTGCCCAACTCCACTGGCTTCCCATCACACGGAGGATAAAGTTCAAGTTCCTGGTCCTCACCTTCAAAGCCCTCCACGGTCTTGCTCCCCCCTACCTCTCCGACCTCCTAACCCCCTACCACCCTGTTCGCTCCCTCCGCTCAGCGGGCTCGGCCTGGTTCATGTCCCCCACCTTCCTCGTCCCAATATTGGTGGGCAGGCCTTCCGCCACTCTGACCCCACCCTCTGGAACTCCATCCCGCAGTCCCTCCATCTCGCCCCCTCTCTCGCCACCTCAAGACCCTTCTCCTCGACCGTGGTTTCGATCTCCCTGCTGCCCCCCTGCGCTTCACCACCCGACCCTCAGCTCGGGTCTGTCCAGCACCTTGGGACGTCCTCCCGACATGAAAGGCGTTATATAAATGTAATTTTGTTGTTGTTAAGCAGGGTGACTGTGTATTTGTAGGCAAATGTGGCAGCCGATGGCACAGAACATGTTGCCATAACCATTAATGTGTAAAACCAGTTTATCTGGATTATTGGCTAGGACACCAGGAGAAACTCTTTTTAAATAGTATCATGTGATGACCTGATATCCACACTTTTTTCATACCCACAATGGGACCAGTTCATATAAATTCACACATTAGGCTTTCTACTGTAATATGCATGTTCATCATTTGGGTGGGGGGGGGGGAACAAACATCCCTTGCACTCAGTTCTTTTAATAACAACCTGAATAGTCTGAAAAGACTAAAGCGACAGGAGTCAATAAGATTAGAAGACTTGTAACTAAATTCTATTGCGGCAATTAGAAATTAGTTTGTCAAAAAGCATTGGTTAGTATATGTAAGTGTCAAAAATTGTCTCTTGCACTGTTAAATCTTTTGATTACTGAAATAAGATTAAGAGTAGATCAAAACCAAATTACTCACTGTAGAACTTACATTTTTACAGCACATGTGAAAAATGTAAAATATCTCAAAGTGCTTTACAGTAACTGCAGTGGAGTGGAATGCCTGATTTTCTTGGCAGCAATTTTGAGTACAGCAGAATCCCACAAACAACCATAAGATGCATCACCAATTAATCTGGAGAATGGTTGGCCAGGACAGAGAGAGAAACTCCCTTCATTTTTCAATATTTCGCCCACAAAATATACGGTCAATTCACTTTACAGTATATTCTGTGAAGTGTTTTGAGACGTCTAGAAGACGTGATAAGGTGCTATATCAAATGCAAGGATTATTATTAAATAGGGCCATAAGATCTTTAACATCCTCCTACAGACAGATGGGATCTTATTTTTATTTCACACCCAAAGGATAAAATCTCGGACTAAGCAGGAATCCCTGAGGAATGCCGTGAGAATCATTGTCAGCACAGACTATGAGCTCAATCCCTGAAGTGGGACTTGAACTCACAACTTTCTAACACATATATATTTAGGCCCTTGCTTTAAAACTGAAATATGCAACACATTGATCAATGCAATCAAGTAAACTATACAAACCTTTAATGGTGGTTCTATTGCAGCTGCTTTAGTGGAAACATCTGGTAACCTAAGAAACAGAAGTAATAATATTAATGGTTTCGGCAAGGCACAAGTGTTTTGTGCTTTTGCTGAATTTGCTGAAGGGTATTAGTACATATTGGTCACATTTGAAGTGATAGCACTTTATTTGTTATTCTGTGTGTTCCATGCTGTGCAGAAATACTCTGCAGCTTTTATATGGAAAATAAATTATCATATTGATATTAGGTTTGTAGCTCTTCCTAAAATAGGAATATCTGAAAACAAAATCACTTACTGGAACTTACCCCAAAATCTTGAGGAGTTCCACACTTAGAGCACCAGGAAGATAATCTGACAGCAAACCATGAGCATAACGAAGATAATCCTCTGAAGAAAACACAAACATTGGTTCAGAAAAAAATCACCCGTCATTTCATGTTATAACCTGCGAGAACGTTTGGACAATCTATTTTGCAGAACGTTAAAGCCAAAGTAACAATGCTTAATTATAATACTCTGGTGGATTGAAGAATCAGTGTACTGAGTCAAGGATTAATGGTCATTGCTTATTGTTTGACTTCACTGGCGAAGCCCAATGATGACATTTCTGACCACAGACACTAGAGATTATTTTCTTTGGTAGTGGAAAGTACTCAGAGAGAGGGATTGGAGGATGGTGATTTTCTAACCCAACAACCCAACCAAGATAGGTAACAGCAATTTGTGCCTAGATCAGAAACACCAACTTTCTGCTTCAGTTTGTTTTCCAGGTGCTTACATTTATATAAATACTAGCTGCGCCCATTGCAACTTCGCTTGCAACCAAAGGATCCAATATGGAATGTAGATGGACACACGGACAGACATTTCGTCTTTATCTACACTCAGCTGGGAGGACTCCTGTGGGAGGACTCCTTTTGGGAGGACTCCTTTAATATGTTTTCTCTCAAAGAGTCTTCCTCAGTCTCTCTGTCTATCTCTCTCTCAGTCCCTCTGTCTGTCTCTTTCTCAGTCTTTCTTTCAGTCTCTCAGTTTCTGTCTCTCTCTCTCTCTCTCTCTCTCTCTCAGTATCTCTCTCTCTCACTCAGTGTCTCTCAGTCTCCATCCCTCAGTCTCAGTCTCTCTCTGTCTCTCTCTCTCTCTCTCTCTCTCTCTCTCAGTCTCTCTTACAAAACACAGTCACTACACTTTATAATATATTCTCTCGGACAGTCTCACAGAGTTTTTGTCTGCAATCCATGTTTTATGTACTGTATATCACCACAGACATGATATCACAATGGGTGTGATATTACAATGGACAATGTCACAACCGATTGACGTGGAGATGTGGTGTAGATACCTCATATTTTGGGGCTTAATTTTTAATATAGTTTATCAACAATAGGAGATTTCCCCCCAAAAAAATGCCCACGATACTGCCAGTTGCAAGACCTTTCCGTTGAGGTATAAATCATGTCTCTACGTCAATCAATTATTGCATGATTGTCAGATACACTACGCAGACAGACATTGTTGTTTTATTAGTAAATATAAGACAGAAGAAGATAAAGTACTAACCCAAGATAAATCACATTTAAAAAAATATACAAAGCAGGGCACAAGAAGAATGGTGTGAAGACCTGGGACAGAAGCACAATTGGAGTGCAATTAGGGCATTTTTTAAATTTACTTCTAACTCTTTCATTTTTCAATTACTGGAAACAGTAAATTCTATACATAATAATAATAATAATTATGTAGAGAATTTATTGTTTCCAGTAATTGAAAAGTGGAATTATTATTATTATTGTACATCATTTCCCATTAAGCAAAATAGAGAGAGAGAAAAGGAGGAGGAACCTTTGGACTACTCCCGAGAACACAATTGGAACCAGACAATCCCAAAAACTTTTACACAATACCTAGATGATGCTGAACTTGGGATCAAGCATTGCTTGTTTGACAATTCTTGAGAAACAGGGGACAGAAATTAAATAAAAGTTCAGAGAAGACTGAAAGATAAAAAGGGTAGGAGAATAAGAATCTGTGTGAAAATTTGGGCAGCCCCTTACAAAATATGTTTTTCTCAAGTTGCTCACTTGTGTATTTTTATCTTGTTGCTAAATATACCACACCAGTTCTGCCAACCTTTTAATAAAATCTTGGATTTTGCTTGTAGGCCATTGCACAACATGATGTTCTATGCTCCGAAATCCAGAGTCAGGGTCAAATGCCAAAGAAGCCATGAACTTTGTTTACATTTAACTAAAAGCAATAATGGGGTCTTCAATTCGTCAATTTGCACTTTGTATTAAAGTCAATATATCCTCCTGGTACTGTTATTATCTAGTAAAGCACCACTTGTACAAGACCCCTCAAGTACTAAAGATCATCCATAATTAGCAAGGAATTTATCACAGAGGCATCTTCATTGAATGTTTCCCACAGAACACTCAATGCACTGTGGGACTAAAGCTCTGTTTACTTCTATGAAGAGTGGCACCAAAGAGGTTGTGAGGGCAATGATCTTGCTACAAAATATTTTCCCATAACATTTGACTTTTTCCATAATGTTGCACTTTTTATCTTATTCAGAGAACAGCTCCAAAATAGAACATTTTTCAGTTTTTTTACTCCCATGTCAAGTATAAAAAGGCCAAATGGAACTCGTAGGCTCTTCCTACGTTGCCCTATTAATGCTTGAGAATCCCAAAATGAGAGAAACATCCTCTGCTGCATTGGTCAGGCATTTTTAACCTCACCGATACAAATCACAACCACAAAGCCCCTAGCCTGCAGAATTCCCTGCCTCAATCCCTCCGTCTCGCCCCTGTTTCGATCTATCTTTAAATCTCACCTTACGATCTACGCTTTTGACCATACCTTCGGTCACCTCCCCTCTTCCTTGCTCGGAGTCCAATTCCACTACTGTGTAGCATTCCAAGACACTATATTGCATGGAGGGTACTATATCTTATACTAATAAAGACAAAGTGTCTGACTGTGTCTGCCAAGAATGCAATAACCGATTGATATAGAGATATGATTTATACCTCATCGGAAAGGTCTTGCATGGGGGAGTGTCATGGGCATATTTTTTTCGGGGATCTCCTATCGTGACCTAAACAAGTTCATCACACTCCAACAAGGAGTCCTCCCAACACGAGTCCTCCCAACAAGGAGTCCTCCCAACAGGAGTCCTCCCAAAAGGATATGTGTGCAAATATCTGAACAAGGGATGCTAACGAGTTCAATAGCATATTTTCTTAATCTTAAGGGATAAAGATGCCTAAAAAGCGAAGATCAAGCCTTTGAAGGACAAATAAAAATGCCAGATGAAAGAGAGAAGCCTGATTAAATAAAACTGGTTGCAAGCGTAGCTACAACGGGTACAGCTAGTATATAATTATATATATAGACATACATACACAAGTTGATATTGTGCCTTTCTGATAATTATACCAAATGTGAATTATTCTTCCTATTTTATATCACACCAAGTTTACTCACCATAATCTTTGCATGCAAAGGCTGATATGCAGTGTCAGTGTGGTAGTTTACTCAAAGAATTGTTAGACTTGGAATTTGACACTGTGTGTTTGGGGGGGATGGGGGGGGGCATTGGGAGAAATTAGCACCGTTAATGGTAAATCTACTGCAAGAAGGATGAGAAACAGATGGGGTTTTGATGGCTGTGGGAGTACCTACATTAGATTAAAAAATTTGGAGTTTATTGGCTTTTATATCACTAAATGTCAAAGCTCTAGATTAAGTAGAACAGGTTAAATGAGGTGTATTATGCTCATTCTACTAATTGTGTAATATTTAAACTCCAACGGGATTCAAAATGGAAGTTTCAATTCCCATTTAGACTAGTCCAAAGAAAAGCCCTCCTGATTCCCGTCACAGGGAAGTGGTTTTGAATTTGGTCCCAAAGGTCTATCCTGAACAAAGCACAGCCAATCTAAATCACAATCTATAATACTGTACTTTAATCCAGACCAAGGAATCATTTATTTTAAAAATAATACTAAAACAAGTACTAACCTTCAGTCACCTCTGCAGCTTGTTTGCTTCTAATAAAGGTGCTGGACTGCACGCCTCCTCCTACATTGAGATTATTGCTCTTCAGGGCTTTGACTGTCTGTTTCACCTATTAAACAGTATGAAAACTGAGTCACAGTGGAGTGGTGTAATGGCTGCTTTTTGGGACTCAGACCAAATTTGCGATTGGACATGTATCACATGACATTTTGATTGACAGGAGTTATATTGGGAATTTTATAGACATTTTCAGGATTAAAAACTTTTGAAATTGGTCAAAGGACTTACAAAACACACAATGGTTGCACAATTTACAATTGGTTATCCTACTTTTGTTGATTGTCTGAGTGCTAGAAGGAGAAATCAAACATGGGTATGTGGCTTCTACTGAAACTATATAAATAAAAATAATTTACCTTTTTCTTTAACCACAAGAGTGTCTTCTCTTGACTATATTTATAAAATTTCTGATCGCCAATTTCTGCAAAGTGAAAACATAAAATTGTAAGTGATGCAATGTAAATTCACTGCAATCCTACATGGAGACCAACAGAAAACATGTCAAATATTATAAGCAGAGTGCAAGTGGAAAGAAATTAAAAAATTCAATCGTAACATACAACATCAGCATCAGCTCTAAAGCAACAAACCTCCTCTGCAAAAGACTCTACCTAATTTAAGTACTTGCCCAAGAGGGCAGTTCATTTCTTTCCTGTTATTATTGAGGCAAAGCTATATCAAAACCTACAGCAGAACTAAAAAGGCTCCACAGTATTATCTGTAGCAGACAACAAGGCAGGCAGGAAAATGACAGACTGGCAGACCAAGAGAGGAAAGTGAGTCAATGTCATTGCCTATGATTAATTGTCCCCAAAGGAAATTAAATCCCATTCTCAAATGTAGCTGCTTTTGCAGCATTTGGCATAGTTGCACACACTAAAATCATTCAAACCACTAGGGCTTCAATTCAATATATCTACAGAACAGGGCAAAAAAGGCACAAAGGCATTTTCAGTAATTGTGCCTATTGTATCCTGATTGGTAAATGAAATGACCTTTTTATTACTGTACTTTATAATGAGACTTCCCATTAGAAGTCAGGATAAACATGTACGAACATGAGTAGATTGTCCAACCCATTTTTTAGTGTTCAGCATGTGATACACCTTATTTGTTATACTTTGAGAGACTAATCTATGCAAACGTTTTGATGGCTTTTTTTAAAAAAATAACTGAGAAGTCTGGCTGCAGGATACAACCAATGTTGAAGAGGAATAGGAGAAAAAAAACGAGATAAATAAAGAAGTAGTTATTAGGAGTCATAAAGCTTGGATTTCAAAAACATTCTGCAGATTATAACACAAAGGAGAGACAGAGCTCCTGAAGACACAGTGGACATCTTATTGATTAAGAATCGCTAAACTAAATCCAACTCTAATAATATGCTTAACATATTACACAACATATTTCTACACACAGACACAAGCTCAGAAGAAACTGAATATAAAACTAAATGAATTACTTTACAGACACTAGTATGTGGAATAGCATACTGTGGGAATTGGTTAGATAACTATTTGGAGAAGAAATCAACTGAGGAGTATGAGGGGTAGAATAGTATAGATTTATTTATTGATTTTGTTTTAACTTTGGAGCAAACTAGATTGGCTACAATGGTCCTTTATGGTTCTGTACATTCCTCTATACCTCTGGGATCAGTCAAATTAGACTTTCAATCCAGCCTGCTTTGGATTGAAGCCTATGTTCCAATTGTGACAACAACAATAACTTGCATTTATACAAATCCCTTCATGCAGGGTAGCGTCTCGGAGTGCTTAACAGTGGTGGAGCCTGACGCCAAGCCGGGGGGAGGTGACTGTAGGCACAGTCAAAGAGAAGGTCTTCTGGCAGGATCTGAAAACGGGGAAGGAGGAGTCAAGACAACGTTCCATCAAGGATATTGTTCCAATCTACCTAGCAACTCTTGTTTCAAAACTGTTCCCATAGGGTGCAATTTAATGAATAGGAGTAGCATTAAATTGCTAGCACTTCCTCTTCAAGAAAACTGTATTTGGACAGTAAATGCACTAAAATAATAGCTTAAGAGCTGGTAAATAAACAAGTGATTAGTTTCTGATACATTGCCTTTTTCATCCGCGATATGATGAACTGATTGCAAAGTCCTTGGACACTTCAGTAGTGTAGAGCACCCAGGAAAATCTTCATCTTTCATGATCTGATCCACAAGCCAATACTTTGCCTGCTGCAAAAAATAATAAAAAGAGTTCAGTTCATTGTTCATTGTCAATTGTGGAAATAAATTTATTCTACAATAATTTACTAGTTGGAACTTCAATGGGAGATTTTCACCACTTCGTTACCAACAAGTTGAAGCAAATCATTCACTGTGTGCCTATAATTGAAGCATATGACGGCAGATTTACTAAACTTAGCAAACTAGATATAAAAATCCAATGGTTAATATCAGTATTTATACTCTTAGTACTTTGGGACATCTTCCCAATGTGAAAGACGCTATAAAAATATAAATTTGTTGTTGTTCTATAAGCAAGATTTTTAAATTTCCACTTAAAATGTTCAAGTAATCAGTCAGAGAAGTGTGCAATACCTTTCAGAAAGTTTTGAACTGAACAAACGTAAAGCACAATGGCTATTTGGATTTTTCCATAAAGTGCAATTTGAATTTACTTATGTAAAAAGTTTAATACAAATCGTTTTTAATACAATTTCTTGTTTTACTTGTCTGAAAATGAAAAAATAGTCAAACAAAAACAATAGGAAAAAGGAAGAAATGAAATATTGCAGTCTATAACAGCAGTCTTCAACCTGTATCACAATAAAGACTGGTAGTGTACCAAGGAAGGTGGGTTCTCCTGAACAGGATTCATAGGTTGCTGAATGGAAGGTTAATGTTACATATGGAATACTAAACTCAAAGGAGGAAGACAAACACAATCTCATCAATTCAATGCTTCAGCTTGTAACAGAATGGTATAGATAACAGCAAAATAACTGTCCCCTGCAAAGCATTAAACTCACCTGTTCAGTGGCCTTTAGAAAATACGGCAATACAAGAAACAATGGGTCCAGGGGAGTAACAAACAGCAGACGTCCATCTGGAAAGATTGGAATGATAATTGTTACGTGTTTCTTCCCTACCAATTGTATCCCTCTGCTCAGTGGGCACCTGAGCTGCTTCACATCACCCACCTCGCCCACCACACCATTGCTGGGCAGGCCTTCAGCCACTCTGCCTCCATCCTCTGGAACTCCATCCTGCAGAGCTCCGCTCTCCCCCTCCGTTGACTCCTTCAAGACCTGTCTCAAGACCCTCCTCTTCGACTGTGCCTTCAGTCACCCTCCTTCCCCCCCCTGCCCTCCACCCTCCCCGATCCAGAACCCCAGCTCAGGTCCTAAACACTGATTGTCCAGCGCCTTGGGATATCCTCCCAACGTGAAAGGCGCTATAAACATGTAACTTTGTTGTTGTTGTTGTTATTGCCATGCACTCCCATCCCATCTGGCCATTCAGGTGGATGTTAAAGATCACTATCTTTTCACTATTTGAAAAGAGAAGGGAGTTCCTCCTGCTGTCTTGTCCAACAATCCCTACACAAAATCAAGGTCATTCACCTCAAGGCTATCTATGAGGCACTGTTGTACAAATTAGCTGCTGCATTCACTTACACATGCACAGTTACTATATTTTACAGCAAATCCTGTGAAGCACTTTGACACATTCCTCCAAAGCACAAACAAAAGCAGGAAGAGAGGAAACAAGGTAAAGAGTCTGGAAGAGAGTGGCAGGGACATTGTGGCTAAAAGTTCAATTACCAATTGTGGGACAGTGGAAATGAGGAATGAACAGTGGACTAGAATCAGAAGAGCAGAAACCATAGGTTTGGATAACATAGGGCAACAGCAACAACTACAACTTGCACTTATATAGCGCCCTCCACACAGGCTAGCATCTCAAGAGCATCTCAGAGGGCAGGAAAATAAAGTTGGATAAGATTAAATAAGTGGGTGGGGGGGGGGATTTGAAGTTCAGGACAATGATCCTGAAGTTGATCCACTGGGGACTGGGAGCCAGTGGATCCTGGTGATGATAATAATAATAATAATCCTTGCATTTGATATAGCGCTTTTCATGTCGGGAGGACGTCCCAAAGCGCTTCACAGAACACACTATAAAGTGAATTGACTGTATATTTGTGGACGAACGCGGCAGCCAATTGCGCACAGCAATGTCCCACAAACAGTCGTAGATTGAAAATGACCAATTTTTATTATTGCTTTGTTTTGGAGGGATTATGATTAGGCGTGTAGAGTAAGGAAACTTGCCCAAGGTTTCGCCCTGCCTGGAATTGAACTCAGGTCTCTCGCTTGCAAAGCGAGTGCTCTAACCACTGAGCTACAGGACTCCACGATGGTGGTGGTAATGAGAGAATACAGACTGCAGAAGTTTGGAGAAAATAGAGCTTGTAATGGTGGAGCTAGGGAGGCTGCGGAGGAAATCCAGAGGACTGCATCACTGAGTTGAAAAAAGGCAGAAATAAAGATTTCAGAAGGAGAGAGGATAAAACAGGAATTTAATCAGGCAAAACTTCAGAATTAAAAAAACTTATATATAAACCTTACATATACCATTCAACCAAAATTACAGGAAAAGCTAATACTGACCACTCTGGACAGATTGCCCAATGAACCAAGAGTGATAGTTTTCATCAAAGGCCTTCACTTCATATATCTGAGAGGCGTTACTGTTGAACAGGTACAAGGAAGCTTCATCTAAAACAAGAGATAAAAACAAAGCATTCTGCATATTGGATTTTATGTGCTCATATACCACAGTACCAAATTGTTCATCACCAGACAGACCAGATATTTACTAACTATACCAAGATACTGAATTTGTCAATACATGTATCAAAATTCACAGTGTTGTTAGCACAATATTTTACAGTCAAAGTCAAAATTGCAAAGAAGTATTTTTGACATTTAAATAGTTCCGTTTTTTTCCACTTCTAGCTTTTCTCCAGAGTTAAGCAAATTGTATTAATAACTTGTGTTAACAACAGAGAGAAAAAACATAAGCTACATTAGGACTGGACTATGCCTTATCAAGGCCCATCAGTAATTACTTTAAAGAAAGCAACTCCCTGAAAGAGGTTTTATATCAAGCTAAGGACTGAATGCAGTATTATACAAAGACAAATTGAAGACTGCACGTTTTAAGTGCTTTAAATGGTAAAGTCCAACCATTTGAAACATTGTAATCAAGCATTTCGGGAACCAGCCCTCACGTTTGTCATCAAAGACTCATCATCCTCATCAACCTTGCTTCATTTCATCTCTTTAACCAATGCAAGACGCTTCATAAAACTCTACATGTTTCTTATGCACCATTACTTTCTCTGTTCTTCCAAAAATTATTTGAGATTCAGTTGAGTAACGCTCATCGCTTCTGCCATGCACTGCACTGTGACCACTTTTACACCATGGCTTTGGAGGCTTGAAGTGCAGCACATATCAGATGCCAATGCTGTCTTCTGAATAAAGACTTGTAGTGCCAGAGGAGGTGTCATGTTTACATGGAAACATAGGTTGGTGACTGCATCAGGTGTTGAAACGTGTAAAAATATCACAACAATTTTATTTTGAGTGGAGACCAGTTCCACTACCATAATTTTGGTAGCACCAATTGTGAAAATGAACTGCACGTGTTTTCTTTGCACATCGGGAGAACGTCTGGGGCCATTATGTCCCACATGCAATATACCATACATTTTGATTAGCAAATAGTGTTGCATCTTTTTTATTTCATCAATTTTCATAAATTTTCATCAAGGAGACAGAGGTTGTAGAAGACAGCATCTGACTCACTCTAAATTGTGTCTGTGATAACTCAGCACTGTGAAATTCTGCAGTGTTTCATTACAGGCTGCCGGCAGAGGCAGGCTTAATTCTGCAAACAAATGTATAATTTAGAAGCAGAATCAAAGTCGCGCATAGAGAAGAGCATCTCTCCAGAGTTGTCACAAGAACAAAACGCCACCAAGATCAGAACAGACTCAGGGTATGTACCACAGGCAACGAACGTTGCATTATTACACTCAAAACTTATATCAGCGCGTTTTAAACTTGGAAACCTGGCACAATGATGGCATCATGCTGGCAGCAATGCACAACAAATTTGATTAAAGACATGGGATAGAGCTCAATCATTTATATTGATGACAATTTCGAATTACAAGTCAGTCATACAAATCAATCAATCAACTAGTCATGCAAGCTCCTTGATATACATCAAACACAAATTGCACTCACACTGCAAATGCTCTACTTGCCTGTTTTGGGATTGCGAAGTCTGGTAAAAACAGGGCCACAATTTGTGTTCTCTAGTGCATCAGTGATTGACTCTGAAAAAGAAATCACAGTCAGACCATCAAGAAGATTTCACTTGTAGTTGTTCAAATGGGATATTAACATATTCACCATGGTGGCTCAGCAGTCATAAAGGCATGTAATTCTGCACCATAGAAGGATCTACTAAGCGCTTCAACATTATAGGCTGACCCTGTTGTAACACTGTATATTTGGGTCCATAAAATTAGACACTGTGTTATCAAAGGTCCAGGACCAATCTCTAGATCTAACAAGACCGGATGCAGTTCAGCTGTTCAGTTGGAGGTCAGTTACTGAAAGAAAAGATGCTGTCCGGAGGTGAACTACTGATTAACAGGTTCCAAGGTTTTTGGAAAGACTGTTCCAAAGGAACGTAAAGTCCCACAAACCTAAAATGAGGTACTATCTCCACATTCCAGACTCAGGTTGCTAAATATAAAAGGGTATTAATTGTAGGCAGGAGGAGGGCGATAAAGACTCAGTAAAATGAATATATTACGCAGGAGTCCTGTAGCTCAGTGGTTAGAGCATTCGCTTCGCAAGTGAGAGACCTGGATTTGATTCCCGGCAAGACAAAACCTCGAGCAAGTTTCCTTACTTCACAAGCCTGATAATAACCCCTCAAGACAGAAAAACAACAATAAAATTGGTGACTTCAATCCACAACTGTTTGTGGGATACTGTTCTGCGCAATTGACTGCCCGTTTCACCCACAAATATACAGTCAATTCACTTTACAGTATATTCTGTGAAGCGTTTGAGACGTCTAGAAGTCATGAAAAGCGCTATATCAAATGCAAGGATTATTATTATATACACACACCACAGCAATACTGGTACTCGTGGAGTCCTGTAGCTCAGTGGTTAGAGCACTCGCTTTGCAAGCGAGAGACCTGAGTTCAATTCCAGACAGGGCGAAACCTTGGGCAAGTTTCCTTACTCCACATAGAGCCTAATAATAATCCCTCCAAAATAAAAAACAATAATAAATTGGTCATTTTCAATCAACGACTGCTTGTGGGACATCGCTGTGCGCAATTGGCTGCCGCGTTCGCCCACAAATATACAGTCAATTCACTTTACAGTGTGTTCTGTGAACCACTTTGGGACGTCCTCCTGTTGTGAAAAGCGCTATATCAAATGCAAGGATTATTATTATTATTATTACTCAGAAGGCATTGCTAAGGAATTCAAAAAGAAATAACATCTGCATATCACATTCCGAACACATGCATTCTTACGCTTAGGGAAATGAAGTAAAAACATGTTGGTTTTCTGAATTCATAGCTAGTCATTTCGCAAATGTTATAAATCCAATTGCGGCCAATGTTTAGACACCTCAAGTCACAATTAATACAACAAATCCAGTTTGCAAATATCGCTAATTCGTCTCCGAGCGTGTAAAAACGCACCGACGATCAATGGCAGACTGAATTCAGCAGTGATAACAGCCCAAGGAATAAAACATGAGTGAACCATGAAAATGAATGGAACACAAGGTGTGTAAAAAAAATATTTCGAAAACAAAATCCTTGAGAGTGTATATCTTTAAAATAACGTTAAGGTTGACATATGAGGGGTGGGTGGATCGGGGGGGGGGGGGGGGGGGGTTGCTTTCGTGATCTAATCGTGATGCAAAATGCATTCGCCTTATTGCAATAAGCATAAAGACCACTTTTTATGGCCATCAACACGTCGACAAAGTGCTTCACGGTTTGTGCCAAGCGCTAAACGGGACCGTATGTGAGTGCAAGGGTTGTTATTATGATTCATATTATAATAATAACAATAATCCTTGCATTTGATATAGCGCTTTGCATGTCGGGAGGACGTCCCAAAGCGCTTCACAGAACACACTGTAAAGTGAAGTGACTGTATATTTGTGGAGCCAACGCGGCAGCCAATTGCCCACAGTAATGTCCCACAAACAGCGGTGGATTGAAAATGACCGATTTATTATTGTTTTGGGGGTTTTGGAGGGATTATTATTAGGGCTGTGTGCGGAGTAAGGAAACTCGCCCAAGGTTTCGCCCTCTGCCTGGAATTGAACGCGGGTCTCTCGCTTGCAAAGCGAGTGCTCTAACCACTGAGCTACAGGACTCCACGGTATCTCGCAGGCAGACAGCCCGACTGAACCGCAACCCGGGGGGGGGGGGGTGGTGGGGGGGAAACAGGGCCTAACAGGGCCAATGTGGTGAATGGGGCCAATGCTATGGACCAGGGCCGGGAGTTGGGGGAGTGGAGGGGATAAAGTCTCCTTCTCTTTCTTCTCCTTCTCGTCCTTTTTTTTTGTTGTTGTTGTTGTGTGTGTGTGTGGAAAGGTTCCCATCAAAATCCGTGACCTCTCAACGCAGGAACCACGAGGCTTGAGAGCCCCACCACGACCCGCAGCCTGGAGCCTGGGGGGGGGGGGGGGGGTCCGGGCCTGGGCCTGGGCCTGGGCTGGGCCGGGCTGGGTCTGGGCCTGGTCCCGGGCCTGGGTCTGGGTCTGGGTCTGGGCCGGGCCTGGGTCTGGGCCTGGGCCTGGGCCGGGGTCTGGGTCTGGGTCTGGTCTGGGCTGGGCCTGGGTCTGGGCCTGGGCCTGGGTCTGGGTCTGGGCCTGGGCCTGGGTCTGGGTCTGGGCCTGGCTCTGGGCCGGGCCTGGGCCTGGGTCTGGGTCTGGGCCTGGGTCTGGGCCGGGCCTGGCCTGGGTCTGGGTCTGGGTCTGGGCCTGGGCCGGGCCTGGGCTGACCAGGTCACTGACCTCCGGGGCAGATCCCGACACCTCTCCCCCTATCACACCGTTACCTTCTGCCAACAGCACCCACTGAGCCTCCTCCCGCTGCCGCTCCCGCTGCCCCCCGGCCCCGGCCCCGGCCCCGGGCATCTCCCGCCTCTCTCTCCCCCACACCCCACACCTCTCCCCCACACCCCGACAATCCCAGAGGATTGAGCTATTCCCACACTCCGCTTTCCCTCCTCCCGCAAACAGGCGCCAAACTCATCCGGGAAGCGAGCAGTCAAGAGGCCCGGAGTGGGGGGGGAGGAGAGGGGGAGGTACCTCCCTCACACCGCCCCCCCCCACACACACACCTCCTGCCCCCCCACACACACACACCTCCTGCCCCCCCTCCCCTCAAACACCGCCCCCCCCCACACACACACACCTCCGCCCCCCCTCCCTCAAACACCGCCCCCCCCCACACACACACACCCTCCTGCCCCCCCTCCCCTCAAACACCGCCCCCCCCCACACACACACACCTCCTGCCCCCCACACACCGCCCCCCCCACACACACACCTCCTGCCCCCCCCCCTCCCCTCAAACACCGCCCCCCCCCCACACACACACCTCCTGCCCCCCCCCTCCCTCAAACACCCACACACACCCCTGCCCCCCCCCCACACACACACCTCCTGCCCCCCCTCCCCTCAAACACCGCCCCCCCCACACACACACACCTCCTGCCCCCCCCACACCGCCCGCCCCCCCCACACACACACACACCTCCTGCCCCCCCCACACACCGCCCGACCCCCCCACACACACACACCTCCTGCCCCCCCCACACACCGTGCCCCCCCACACACACACCGCCTGCCCCCCACACACACCGCCCCCCCACACACACGCCTCCTGCCCCCCCCCACACCCGCCCCCCCCACACACACACACACCTCCTGCCCCCCCCCCCACACACACCTCCTGCCCCCCCCCACACACACACCTCCTGCGCCCCCCCCACACACACACACACCTCCTGCCCCGGCTCTGGGCATCACTTGGTGCTGTGTTGTCTGCTTAAAGAAACACTGTATATCAGACCCTAAACCACTGTGCCATCAGACCCTAAATCACTGTGCCATCAGACCCTAAACCACTGTGCCATCAGACCCTAAACCACTGTGCCATCAGACCCTAAACCACTGTGCCATCAGACCCTAAACCACTGTGCCATCAGACCCTAAACCACTGTGCCATCAGACCCTAAACCACTGTGCCATCAGACCCTAAACCACTGTGCCATCAGACCCTAAATCACTGTGCCATCAGACCCTAAACCACTGTGCCATCAGACCCTAAACCACTGTGCCATCAGACCCTAAACCACTGTGCCATCAGACCCTAAACCACTGTGCCATCAGACCCTAAATCACTGTGCCATCAGACCCTAAACCACTGTGCCATCAGACCCTAAACCACTGTGCCATCAGACCCTAAACCACTGTGCCATCAGACCCTAAACCACTGTGCCATCAGACCCTAAACCACTGTGCCATCAGACCCTAAACCACTGTGCCATCAGACCCTAAACCACTGTGCCATCAGACCCTAAACCACTGTGCCATCAGACCCTAAACCACTGTGCCATCAGACCCTAAACCACTGTGCCATCAGACCCTAAATCACTGTGCCATCAGACCCTAAACCACTGTGCCATCAGACCCTAAACCACTGTGCCATCAGACCCTGAAACATTGTACTGTCAGACCCCAAATCACTGTACTGTCAGAACCCAGAACACTGTCGTCTCAGACCCTAAAACACTGTACTGTCAGACCCCAAAACACTGTACTATCAGACCCTAAAATATGGTGCGATCAGACCCTGAAACACTTTACTGTCAGACCCTAAAACACTGAACTGTCAGATCCTAAAACACTATCAGGCCCTGAAACACTTTAATGTCAGAGCTTGAAACACTGTATCGTCACAACCTGAACATTGTATTGTTAAATGCTGAAACTTTGTATTGGGAAACCCTTAAACATTGTATTGTCAGAGACCCTGAAACATTGTGGCACAAACAAATGTAACAAGTGATTTCACAGAAAGGGAATTTCACATCAGTGCGACACCGCGTAATTTAATACAATTAATTGGTGGATCTATTTACAGCTATTTACTTTTTAAAAATACTGTATTTTTAAATGTAGCTTAACTGCTAGAACTAAGAAAATTTCTTGCGAGGATCGGACTTTGAGCTCACAATAGTGGAGGGCAGTGCTGGGGGAGCAATCTAACGTCGAATAAGACGTTTTAAATAAAGATCCCGTTTACACGTTTAGGTGGTTGTTGAAGAACCCATGACATGATTCAAAATGAGAAGGGAATTTCTCCCGGTGTCCAAATCAACAATCGGATGGTTAGGTCAGTCATTCACCTCAAGGCTCTTTTTGGGGGGCATTGCTGCATGCAAATTGGTTACCACATTTGCCTACATTTGACAGCAATTACCTGAAGCGCTTTATGAAGCTGACATTATACAATACAAAATTACATTTGTATAGCGCCTTTCACATCTGAAGGACGTCCTAAGGTGCTGGACAGTCAGGGATTTAGACCCCTTGGAGGGGGGTGGAGGTTAGGATAAAGGAGGGTGGAGGACAGGGATGGTAGGAGGGTGGCTGAAGGCACAGTCGAAGCGGAGGGTCTTCAGACGTGCCTTGAAGGAAGCAATGGAGGGAGTGGAGCGAAGGGAATGTGTGATGGAGTTCCAGAGGGTGGGACAGAGAGGCTGAAGGCCCGATCGCTGATGGTGGGGCGTGCCGGGCGGGGGGCATGGAGCAGGCCAGAGCCTGCTGAGCGGAGGGAGCGGGCAGGTTGATAAGGAGTGAGCAGGTTGGAGAGGTAGGAGGGGGCAAAGCCGTGGAGGGCCTTGAAGGTGAGGATGAGGATTTTGAACTCTATCCTCTGAGGGATGGGGAGCCAGTGGAGCCGGGCGGGTGAGGATGATGGGGTCATGGAGCCTGGTGCAGGAGAGGACACTGTAAATGTGTGAATCCGAGTGGTAAAGGGTCACTGGGCTGTTTGACCATGAGAGGAGATGGAATATCACAGACAAGTCTCTTCCTGTCCACACACAAGCACCTTCCAGCCAGGACCATTGAATGTGATAAGAAGTGGGAACACTGGCTGTATTTTTCCTCCTACTTATACAAACTAATTGTAACATCCCATCTGCTGCCAAGCTGAGACCAGGTAACCTGGCACAAATCTGGGTCTTCCAAGTCTCAGTTCAACGCCAGGCAGTGCCTTTGTCAACCAAGTGCTCAAAGAGAGCAGCTTGGGAATGGAGCAATCTATATGCAGGGTTTGATAAATTTATAAGATAGTATTGTTCTGATTAAAAATGGGGGGCGTTATTTGAATAGAAAATGTTCTTTTTGTTTCTATTTAATCATGTATTGTAACTATTTCTTAAAATTAGATACTGAAATAATGGGCACAATGTGTTTGAGCTCAGATTGCAATCCAAAGTGCCTGTTCCCAGCCTCCAAGACACAGTCGTGTATTAACTACCTCAGCTGTGGAGGTGCTCATCGATGATTGGAAAAATGTGAACAAATTTACTGGAACAAACCTGAATCCTTTCTGAAGTTCAAAATATGGAGGAGGTTAATTCTGTTCTGAACTGTAAAGGGAACATGACTGTTGACTAAAGATGCTCCTACAAAATACACAGTCACTACACACTTCATAGTTGTGAAGCACTTTAAACATCCTCGCGAATAGAAACATACTATTCTTGGTGGAGACCCAGGCATCCTACATGGCTCAGCCAACTTAAGACCAAAAGATTCTGTGGTTGAATTCCTTGGAAGCTCAAGCTTTTAACCTTTTTAGAGCAACAATATATCTTTAAAATTATCCTCTGTGGTGACAGATAAGCAAAGTCACCCGAGGGCAGTACTTTTACACTGTGATGACTGGCCTAACAGAAGCCAGGAAGGTGTGTGTTATCCTAAAACCACCTTGGAGGGTGTGAATGTGTGAACCAAAGCTGTGCAAGCTCATAGAACGGACGTAGATGTAAAGTAGCATGTTACTTGATAGCCATCATTATGTATAGCTACGGTCTCTTGGCCATGCACATATTTATATAAAGGTTTGAAGCTACAGAACGTTTCCCGAATTACTTTTCTCGTCCTCTCGATGCAGCTGAGAACGTGGCGATGCAGTGGCATGTGAGTCGAGAGGAGCAGGACAAGTTTGCTGTACAGTCCCAGAACCGAACTGAGGCAGCACAGAAAGCTGGCTATTTTGAAAAAGAAATTGTTCCTGTCTCCGTCCCTTCCAGGAGAGGTATGTGCTGTACTCCTAGGAGGAGAGATTTTGAGACTGACTGGTTCATCTGCACGAGCGCGTGTGAGTGCGTGTAGGAGAAGGTTTCAGAAAGTTGCATATTCTAAGCTTTTTCAAGCCTCAAAAACAAATGTCATAGAGGGGACCTCTATAGAGGTATATAAGATGCTGAATGAGATTGAATGAGATTGAGAAAGTAAACCTACAAGAATATATTCAGATATACCAAGCCAGCAGAAAACAAGGTACAGGTTCAGAGTTGTAAAGGACATTATTTAGGACACACAACAAGAAGTGTTTCTTTACACGTTGCTGCAACTGCAGTAGATTACCAGGAGGGATGGCAGAAGCTAGGTTGCTGGACACTTTTTTTAAAAAAACTATGCGGTAATGAGAGATGATAGCATGGATATTCTGGAAGGCTCAGATTGAATAGGCCGAAAGGTTTTATTTATCCAAACCTCTTTTGTGATCTTATGTCATCCAGTCTGCCCTAAACCCTATGGGCTTGCAAGAGGTCTTCCAAACTATTTGGCACTCAACCAGACAGAGGCCAACATTATTCACTTCGACTAACATATGTGCCACACTTGTTTTTAAATGTATAACACTTATAATGAAATTAAAATTTTATTTGGTACTATTGTGTAGCCTCGAAGTGCTACATTTTAATTAGGAGCCTTAATAATCTAACATCATCCTCTCTCTCTCTTCAGGGCCTATCGAGGTGTCAACCGATGAGTTTCCCCGTCACGGAAGCACCTTCGAAGCCATGTCTAAACTAAAGCCGGCTTTTGCAAAGGGCGTATCTGGCACTGTCACTGCTGCTAATGCTTCAGGTCAGCAGAAAGAATCACTTTTGTAATTTGCTTATAAAGTCGTTGAAAAGAAGGCAGTAACTTTACTGACAACACACTCTGTTTGCTGTTCTGCAGGAATAAATGACGGGGCCGCAGCTATGATTCTGATGAAGAAATCAGAAACTGACAAGAAATGCCTGAAACCTTTGGCTCAGATTATATCCTGGGCCGAGGCTGGTTTGGATCCTGCCATTATGGGAGTCGGGCCTATAGCAGCAATAAGGAAGGCCGTAAGTAATACAAGAATATTGTTAATACTTATACCTCTTCACAGCATAGAGCCTTAACCAGACTCAGACATGTTCATTTATTAGCACATCTCTACTTTTATATGGTGTTTCCTGTTTTGGGAATGGGCTATCCTGCAAGTGAGAGAATTGGCAGCTATTCTGCCCCCAGGACTCTGCTATTGTTTTTTAAGCACCTGCAGGAGACGAGACTGGGGTCGTGGCTCAACTCCAGGTATCTCCCTTTCCCATTTGGAAAAGGTCTGCTCGGTCACTCCTCACATGGCTGATATCATTGACTGAGGAGCGGTCAAATTGTGTCCCCCCTGAAGTAGGGTCAAGTAGATTGTTTTCTTTTCAACCAATGATTCACCCACTGTGCATTCCATCATCTTCAGATTCGAGGGTAATGACTTAGATTTACTATTTATTCTAGGTAGAAAAAGCCGGCTGGACGCTGGATGAAGTTGATCTCTTCGAAATCAATGAAGCTTTTGCATCACAGTCTGTAGCTGTTGTCAAGGAACTGGGTATAAACCCAGAGAAGGTGAGAAATGCAGATATAACAATTGGCACTACAACTAAATGCAATTGATCCTTTTTACTTCCTGATTCACCCAATGGGTCAATGTGGGATGTAATAAAACAACAAATTGCATTTATAAAGCGCCTTTCATGTCGGGAGGATGTCCCAAGCCACTGCAGTCGAGGGTTTGCATCCAAGCTGGGGTTGGATTCGGGAGGGATGGGGGCCAGGAAGATGACCGGTCAGAGGAAGGTTTTGAGGACCTTGAAGGAGGTAAGGGAGAGTTGAGGTGATAGGGCTCTCGTTGGAGTTCCACAAAGTGAGAGCAGATAGGCTGAAAGCCTAATTTAATACTGCAAATTAATAGGGACAGTAATCCCTGGTTAATCAGCTCAAAGCATACGGTAAAAGTTCCCTCCTCCAATAATCTTGAAATACAATTAAACCTATACCAAACTAGTTGCATAGTTTTCCAGGTAGATGGAGAGTGCAGCTTCCACAGCCCCACCTCCTGGAACTAAAGACTTGGACTCAAGCACTCTCTTCACAACACAGAGTGCATCATGTAGGGAGCGCTCCATCTCATCACACATGAAATCATTTGCTCCTCGCAGAATGATTGATGCAGAAGTACGGGCCTTTGTACTGAAAAATACAAAATAAACTTTACAACAAGAGGACTTGTGAGGGTTGGGTGAAACTCATTTTAAAATGTCAGCATCAATTTATACCTCACTTTTAGAAATCAGAATCTAGATCCCTTTTTCAATCACAAACTTTGTGTGCATTGCTCCTGAATGAACAATACCTATTGCTTATATACTGTTATGCAAAACAATATTCATTGCCGACTTAAACCAGGAATAGATGTGACAGTACTACTTTCATCAGGAAACGGCTTAGATTATATTTATATGCACAACAAATTTAATCTGCATCTGTGCAGTCAATATAAAAAAAATTCAACACAATTACAATCCCAACATCTTTTTCAATTCTGCAACATTAACAGCAGCATTACAAGATACTACACTGTATACATTGGAGATAATTTTTTATGGTCAGCTAATGCATTACTGAGAAGACATCAGCAAGGTCTTCAGTCACACAAGGCTGAATATTCTCTATCCCAAGCGTACAACTGCTCATGCCACAGATATTAGCAGGGCAGCAAATAAATGGGAGTTCAGTAAGGTGTACATGTTTTCCTTACTTTTTAACAAGTATCAGTTCATCATCGCATATCCTTTCTTGAACCACCTCCGGTCCTGGCAAGGACCGGCCCTGGCAGGGAGCGGCCCTGGCAGGGACCCGCCCTGGCAGGGATCGTGGGACCAGAGGTTGTGGGCAGAGATGCTGGAGGCCCAACTCGTGATGGTGGGGTGGGTCGGGCAATAGACATGGTGCAGGCCGGAGCCTGCTGAGCGGAAGGAGCTTACAGGTCGGAGACGTAGGAGGGGGAAAGATCATGGAAGGCATTAAAGGTGAGGGCCAGAGTTTTGAATTCGATCCTCTGAGGGATGGGGAGCCAGTGGAGCTGGGCGAGGGTGGGTGTGACTGGGTCATGGAATCTGGTGCGGGAGAGAACACAAGCTGCAGAGTTCTGGATAATCCGCAGCATGTGGAGGGAAAAGTTGGGAAGGCCGACCAGCAGGGCATTGGCATAGTGGAGCATGGTTGCAATGAAGGCATGTATGAGGGTTTCGGCGGCCTGAGGCAGTGGCAGACTCGGACAATGTTACGGAGGTGAGGGAAGGCAGAGCGGGTCATGGCACGGATGTGGGGGAGAAAGGACAGTTGAGGGTCAAACACGATGCCTAGGTTCCTAAGTGGCTTCATGAGATGGAGTGTGCATCTGTGGATGCTAATGCTGCCGGTGCTGAGGGTGCGGAGGCGCTGGCGTGAGCCAATCAGGAGAGCCTCGGTCTTGCTGTCGATGAACGGTAGAAAGTTGGCTAGATCAATGGTCCTGGGGTCAAGGATGGAGGCAGAGAGATAGAGTTGGGTATCATCCGCCTAAATGTGGAAATTGACCCCATGTCTGCGGATGTTGTCACCAAGTGGGAGCATGTACAGGTAGAAGAACAGAGGACAGAGCTCCGAGGAACACTGCAAGAGATGGTGCGTGGGCTGGAGGAGAAGCATTTTGTGGAGATAAAGTGGAGCCAGTGTTAGAGATAGGATCTAAACCATTCAAGGACAGAACCTCGAAGGTTATGGTGAGAGAAGAGGTGGTGGAGGAGGATAGAGTGGTCCACAATATAATATATTATTTATATATAATAATATTAGTTCATTTGTCATCATTATTGTATAAGATCTATTACTTTTTAAATATTTTTTATTATTATTGCTGTACCATTCTTCTTGTATCAAACTCTGCACGCTAATCATCTCAATGCTCGCCAGACTTTACTGGCTCCCTATCTCTGAAACGATCGATTTCAAGATCCCCACCCTCACATACATATCCCTTCAACCCCTACCATCTCATACCTCCCAGATTTGCTCATACCCCACTCCTCTGCCCTCCCTTTCACTCAACTGGCCTGTTGCATGATCCCCAATACCTCCACACCACCAGTGGTAGCCAAGCCTGTACCCACTGAACAATGATTCAACCTCACACCAAGGTGGAGTTTGACAGAGAGGCCAGGGAGGTTGAGCAGGTCAGAGCCAGAGTGAGGAAATCTTTGCAGTATCTCAGGAGATGACTTCTCTCTTGACCGTGAATAGTTGAAGGACATTTTGGGACATCCAATCTTTGATAACCAATAGAGAAATGGACTAATGTCAATTCACCTGGTATCAAGAGTAGCGCCCTGAGATGTCTTCCGGCGTGGAGGGCGCTATATCAATCCAAGTTGTTGTTGTTGTTCAAGAGTAGTCCTCGAGGTCCATGTCTAACGCCAGATACAAGGCTTGCTCAACAACAGCTGCTTAATCCAAACCCTCGTGCAGTAGCAAGGCAGGTCAATGTTGGAACTGGAACACAGACATTTTTTGGACAGTAGATGCTTTATGCACACATTGCGAAAATTCTGTCCCTTTCTCACCTCCTACACCCTCTCTTTGCCAATGTGTCTGTAGACATATGAAATCCCCATAATTTTAATGTTTTAATTCTTGTGGATTGAAGTGACCAAATTTTTTTTTGAGGATTATCAGGCGTGTGGACTAAGGTAACTTGCCCAAGGTTTCGCTGTGCCGGGAATCGAACCCAGGTCTCTTGCTTGAGAGGCGAGTGCTCTAACCACTGAGCTACAGGACTCCTACGTATAGCGCCTTATTATGTCTTCAGTACGTCTCAACGAAGTGAATTGACTGTATATTTTATGAGCAAAACACTTTAGCCATTTGCGCACAGCAGTGTGCCACAAACAGTCATGGAATGAGTAACCAATTTTTTTTAAGGGATTATTGTTCCCGAAAAAGCGATCCACCAATCGACTAACAACTGGGTTCTTACTTACTGCTAGGTAAACAGAGGCATGTGGAGAAAGGAAACTTGCCTAACGTTTCACCTTGCCTGGGAATCAAACCCAGGTCCTCTCACTTGCGATATGAGTGCGCTAAGCAATATACTACAGGACTCCACTTGATACTGATCGGTCAGAACAGTAGAGGTCCTGGCATCAAGGGCGAATGCAAACTACATCTCCCGGGCACAAAATGGTTAGGAAACTAGCATCAGCAAATTGTCTGTAAATAATTACAAAAGCCTTCAACAAATTGCTGGAAAAAATAAGCCCCTCTACCCCCTCCTCTGGCCTCCAGTCAACCATTTCCACATTGTTGATCCTGTTCCCAACATCTTTGTCCTCCCTTATTCTTTGAATGAAGCCACCACCCACTCCTCGAACATATAGCCACATCTCTCTGGCCACCCAAACTCCCTTCTTCACACCTTTGCTAGCCAATCATTACTCTGCTTCTCCACTGGTACAGCACTCCCCGCCTTTCAAAACCACTGTCATCACCTTCTCCTGATGAAACCGTCACTTGACCCTTCTCTGCTCTCCAGTTACCGAACGATCTCCAACTTGCCCTTCCTATCCAAAGCCCTGGAATGAGTTGTCACCTCCCAGCTTCACTTCTTCCTTGCAAGGTGGAACCCTCAAAGTGAGAATTCTGCCCAGACACGTGAAAATTTCCATGTGTAGGTGGCATACATATATGGAATTCTCAGTGTGGTTGGATACTTTCCAGCGTGGTGATGGGTTTCTGCACGCTTTAGACACTTTGCTGAAAAAGCCAAATTTCATTGTAATAAGAATAATAATACTTGCATTTGCTTATAGCTCCTTTTGTGTCTGGAATCTCAAAGCCCTTCACTGGATATATTGTAAAGTGTAGTGACTGAGTATTTTGTAGAGGAATGCGCCAGTGGGTTTTGTCTGCTGTAGATTAGCGATTGCATTTATTTACACAACTAAAGTTACCATTCTTTGTAAATCATTGTGTGAAGCATTCCAACACAGAGTACCACATCAATTTTAATGCCTGTTTTGTTATTTATTCCCTTTTGTTTCCTCTTTAGTTGCTCCCACTGTTGTCATAGAACCGTATCCAGACATCCCTGTGGCTGACAGTGGAGAAAGCACCATAGCCACCTGTCTAGCAAAAAATGCAAAGCCAGCCGCTTCTATACATTGGAAAGGTCCTTTCATTGTCAGTTTTACTCAGAGTGCCACACGTCCTGCTCCTGATGGAACTGTAAACGTCTCAAGCCCACTTCGTCTATCTGCAACCAGAGAGATGAATGGACAGTACGTTTACTGTGTGGTGGAACATCCAGCACTGAAGACTGCTGAACAATTGGGTTATCAGTTAAACATTCATTGTATGTATAACCATCTCTTCCTACACTGTTTTAACGTCCGGTTCAGTAAATACACAGTTTAGTAACACTTGTTAATGCCATTTTAGTAAATACACATAATAGAAGTAACAGTTGTTAATGCTGCTGTTTCTCCTTTCAACTTTCCAGTCAGTTTTCAGTTACATCATCAAATCTTGGAGGAGTTTTAAATTTCTGGGGTAAGGTTTTCATACATAGCTCCCATCCACACCTTCTCAACTCAGTCATTGACCTCATTGACCTGCACATTGAACACTCTCTCTCTCTCTCTCTCTCGCAGGCATACAAGTTCTCATTAGTTCTACTTTCTCTGCTTAACGCTTCAAATTTTACTTCCTGCACTATTGCTCCCCACATCCCACACCTCCTGCTGAGACACTTACACCGCTTCCAAACTCAACTATTGCAACAACCTACTGCTCCGCAGATCCTCAGCTGCTTCCGACACAAGTTACAGACCATCCAGAACTCTGCAGCGTGTGGCATCTCCTGGAGCAGGCTCTGTGAGCACATCAGCCCATCCTCACTCAGCTTCACTCGTTTCCTTTCTGCTCCCTTTCAAATGTCTCCATGGCCTACCATCACCCCACCTCTTCTATCGCTTGTGTTCCATTCTTGTTCTTGTGCTCAGCAAATTTTGCCAGCTTCACCTATCCCTCTCTGAAACTCCATCCTTGTGTCCCTGCATCTTGTCTCATGCTTCCCTGTTTGCTCATCTTTTGTACTATAGTACTGACCAAGTGAAAAGTCAAATTCTCTCTCTGTCGCATGCACACAACAATTATGCATGCATCTCAGGCTTATTGAGATATTCTTTATTACATGAAAGATTTGGAAAATTATGAGATTCCAATTTTATAGTCAATTACACCAATAATGCTTTGTTTCGTGGACTGAGAATCACAGCATGTGAAGACTCGTATCACCACTAACTGAATTGAACCTATTTAACAAATGTATTTGGGTACTTGGAGCAGGCAGAGAAAGAATGTTTACCACTTTATGATCTGAATTAATGCTCTGTTCTGAAACAAAATTGAAAGATCATTGTTCTACTTACAGTATGCAATCTTTTGTCCGTCTCTTCCACCATTGTCCTGTTTTGCTTCATTGTTTATGATTTTACTAGATTCATATCAGGATAACAGTCTTTTGTTTTATTTAATAAAGTTCTACAAGAGTCTTCAAACTTTCTAGCTTTCACAGCAGAATTGTTATAGTGGAGTTTTATCTGTCTATACTTCTCTGTAGAAAACTTTTCTGAATCTTCCAAATCTTGAATTTTGAATCGTCCTTGGAATCTACATTCTAAAACTGCTTGAAGTGTGTTAGAAACATCTCTTCAATCTCCTGGCACCAAATGGTCCAGTGATCTCATCTGCTATTGTGTTGCAGGAGAAATTTATTTCCCTTGATATAAGTTTCCATTCTTCTTAATTGTTTTTGGTACCTTTTACAGATTGATTTAGACTGTTTTTACTTCATGTCTGGTTAATATTAAACTGACTTCTTTATAAACCTATTGTGTTGACAGAACAATGGCATTTTGATTGAGCAATCAACAAACCTTTGGCATTTGAATAACTTGACCAAATTCACCCCTTTTACAACTTGAATTCAGCTTTTCTGAGCCACAAATTTAAGTTGGACTTTTCCTTCCGCTTAGTTTTTAGAATAATAATCCTTGCACTTGATGTAGCACTTTATCATATCATTGTTTCCAAAAAGTTACACAGCTTATTTGTAAGGCTTAGTGACTTCATTTGTAGTCAAATACGGCAGTCAATTTGTTTGTAGGAATGTCCCACACACAGCCATGAATTGAATGATCATTTTTTGTTATTTGGGAGATTATTGGCCAGGACACTGGGAGAAGGTCCCTTCTCTTGTTGAATATTGCCATGGAGTGTGGATTTTGAAGTGGATTTTAAAATGGTATTTTTTTCAGATGTGCCATCAGTTGCCATTACAGTTGTGAAGACTGAGCAAGATAATTTACAGCTGAAATGTAATGCAGATGCTAATCCTCCATCTACAGGAATCAGATGGACAAGGTGAGGAAATGTCTCTGTTATAGTGACTGGGCTTATTTTTGGTCATCTTGATGTTTGTCACATATGGAAACCTATCACCATGCTTAACAGTATCCGAATCAGAGTTCCAATTATGAATGCCACTTACAAATGGAAAGTTTTGAAATTGCCTTTACACTTATAAGCACCGAGCTCAAATTCAGTGCCGACTGAGAAAATTGAACTTTTCTGTCTCTGCTGACTAGAAGAGCACCAGTGACACTGACCTGTGTCCATTTCCAAGGGAAATTAAAATGATAATAATCCTTGCATTTGATATAGCGCTTCATCACGTATTCAAGATGTCTCAAAGCGCTTCACAGAATATAGTGTAAAGTGAATTGACTGGAAACAATAGAGCCTCACTAATCCGGTCACTCAAGTGGCTGGTATAAGTGGCCTACTTAGTGAGGTGACCTGACTACTGAAACAGGCCGGGTGATTCAGGTCATTGATGTAATGTTAAGGGCATTGGTAATGGGCAAAGGTGATGAACATTCAACAACCTTACTTTGCAATTTCATTAAACTAAAGGCATTGTCACATTTAAAACAGATCTTAGGTTTCATAATTTAAAGTTCACACAAGAGGTTAAAATCACACAATATGTTCATTTCTTGAAGAAAGAGTCCAGCATTGTTTGCCTGGCGGCTGATTAACCTGCACTGCCTTGGCCAACCATTGACACTCAGCATGAGCCAAAGTCTGCCACGAGTCGAGTCCATGATCAAGGCAAAAGTCCTTCACTTGTCCCAACAAACCCAGTGCAGCATCATAAGTGAGAGGGTTCTTTGATGTTGTTGGTTGCCCTTCCCGTTCGTTCTCCTGTTCCTTAGTGTCCCTGGTTCCTGGTAGAAACTCCTCCAATGGACATTACTGCCATCCCTCATTCAATTCCTCAGTGGAGGGCACATCACTGCCAATGGCTACATTCTCCTCGGCACTGAGGATAGGGTTGTCCAGTGACAGGCACTGACTGGCCTGAGCCAACAAATGGGCACATCATCATCAGGCTCATCCACACTAAAGCCAGCCTTGGCAAAATACTTCTCTACTATTGATCTACACCCCACATGTTGACTGCTGAATCAATCCAGATGACTGCATGAAGAACATTGATGGATTGCTTCCCACCAGTGCAGCCATCATCACAAACTGAAAGGCTCCTGTCAGGGAGAGCCCTGAAAACAACACCAGATTCATCCATGTTAAATATGTCCTTGGGTGCACAACCAACTGTAATCATAGGGAATTTATCCATCCAGTTGTTAACAGCAGCAGGCTCAATGTCACCCTTTTCCCCAGACACAATTGCAGACCCAATGTTGTGTCTGGACTTGAAATGGACAAGCCAGCCATTTGATGCCTTGAAGCCAGTCTGGCCAAGTGATGCTGCAAAGCTGAGTGTTTTCTCCTGTATCATAGGGCCAGACACAGGCATGTTGAGACCACTGGCACGCTGGAACCACTCCCATGTAGGTTTATGAATGTCCTCAAACTGAAAGTTCAAACACACACATTTTCTATCAGTTTGTTGAATTTCTTCAAAAGCTGTGATGTATTCAGCCTTCCTTTTCAGAATGCATCCAACTTGTGTTCCACCAATGCCATAGATAACAACAAACTGTCTATGACTTTTGCCCTCACTATTTTTGATTAAGTCCACTCCCTCACGCGAGGACAACTCCATCTGTGGTAAAGTGAATTGACTGTATATTAGTGGGCAAAACACAGCAGCCAATTGTGCACAGCAGTGTCCCACAAACAGGTGTGGATTGAAGTGACCGATATTAATATTGTTTTTTTCTTGAGGGATTATTATCAGGCGTGTGGAATAAGGAAACTTGCCCACGGTTTCGCACTGCCAGGAATCAAACTCAGGGCTCTCGCTTGTGAGGCGAGTGTTCTAACCACTGAGCTACAGGTCTCCTGTATATATAGAAGATATATACATATCATTTACACATTACAAAAGACTGCAAGAATACGGTAATCGTGATAATGCCCCAGACAGAGTGACCAATGCTGGAATCAGCAACTTTATTGGCTGTTCACGATTTGCAGCTTTTCTCCCACCTAATTATTCTTCTCAGGCTTTGTCAGAACAATTATTCATTCCCCAGTGCTCTCTTCTTCAATTCTGCTAATTGTCGCCAAACTACTTTTTCAATTTAGTGGTTTTAATCTTCTTGAAAGAAAACTCCCCAAAAGAGTGCAATTTAGATAGGAGCTGCATATGAAATGGTCTACAGAAGTGGTTATAAAAAGCAGCAGGAAGTATAAAGCGCACCGGATGCTGTGATGGGGGAGGGTTTCTGGAGGATGAGATCAGATGGTCGAAAGGCCTTCTTCATTCAAATCGATCTTGTGATGCCTGGACTGAGCTGACAAAATACTCAGCACTGTAACTAAAAGTAGAAGCACTGGGGATTTGTCAGGGGCCGGGCCTGTTCATCATCGCATATCCTTTCTTGAACTACCTGACCGGCCCTTGCAGGGACCGGCCCCTGCAGGGACCGGCCCCTGCAGGGACCGGCCCCTGCAGGGACCGGCCCCTGCAGGGACCGGCCCCTGCAGGGACCTTGCAGGGACCGGCCCCTGCAGGGACCGGCCCCTGCAGGGACCGGCCCCTGCAGGGACCGGCCCCTGCAGGGACCGGCCCCTGCAGGGACCGGCCCCTGCAGGGACCGGGCCCTCGCAGGGACCGGCCCAAGGGTGGGGTGATTGGCAAGGAGGGCGTGTCGGGGCGGGGCGGGTGACTCGCGGGGCGGGGCGGGTGACTGGCAGGGAGGGCGGGGCGGGGCGGGTGACTGGCAGGGAGGGCGGGGCGGGGCGTGGCGGGTGACTGGCAGGGAGGGCGGGGCGGGTGACTGGCAGGGAGGGCGGGGCGGGTGACTGGCAGGGAGGGCGGGGCGGGTGACTGGCAGGGAGGGCGGGGCGGGTGACTGGCAGGGAGGGCGGGGCGGGGCGGGTGACTGGCAGGGAGGGCGGGGCGGGGCGGATTTCCTGGTGCCCCCCCCCCCCCGCCTCCTGCACTCGGTGCAGCGCTGTGAGTGGGAAAGACGCTGTTGTGATCCTCTCCGCAGCGAGAACCCCAATAGGTAACACAGAGAGAGCAGCGCCACAGACGGGCAGCGGGTGGGGACCCCCGGACACTGGGGGGGACCCCCGGACACTGGGGGGGGACCCCCGGACACTGGGGGTGTGTGTGTGTGTGTGTGGAGGCGCTGTAAGGTTTGCATTTAAGTACTGGAAATTCATTGCATTTCCCTCTGTTTTCTAACCTCTCTGAGGATCTGTGGCGTTTAGTTCTAAGGCTACCAACTGCCCTCCAGTAATAACTCAATCCAAGTCACAGGTGTGTTAGTTGCTTCTTTATTTTGTCTTTCCAAACTCTCAGTAAAGCACCACTTTACATCACACATTCTTTGTTCTCACTCCCAGTATCCTTTTATACTTTCTTTCATTGGCTCCTGTTAATTGATCCCAATTGAGTATTCAACAGACATGAGCTGCAGAGTTCCGGATGATTTGCAGTTTGTGGAGGGAAAAGTTGGGATGGCTGACAAGCAGGGAGTTGGCATAGTCAAGCCTGGATGTGAAGAACGGGTGAATTAAGCTTACACTATAGAGGGTTACATTATAGACAATATATCTCATGTAAAGATTATTATTCTAAACCTGTATTGATGTCCATCCTAGGTCAGGCAATAGGGAGGAGTACTTAGCTGGGAATGAAGGTTTATTGGAGGGAATTGTTAGTAGCAGGCATCACTGTATTCTGTTTGGTGATGAGTTTATTGTCTTCTGATAATCTCCATATGTCTTTCTTCCTTCAATTCCTGTCCATCTCCCATCACTCTGCCTATGTGTGAGAATGCGTGTGTCTCTTTCATGAGTCTTTATCTTTTAATTTTGTCTGTCTCCTGCAAATTGTGAGCTATATTCATTTGTTCTTTCTCATTTTTCATTCTCTTTTCCCTCACTCACTCTCTCTTTCACAGTCAGTCACATCGCTATCTCTTTCTGTATATTTAGTTAAAAATAATAATGTATTAATAATGCATTGCATTTGATACAGCACCTTATCATTCTCAAAGTACTTCACAAAATATACTGTAAAGTGAATTGACTGTATGTTTTGCGGGTGAAACGAGGCAGCCAATTGCGCACAGCAGTGTCCTACAAACAGTCATGGATTAATACATAAAGAAAGCCTCTTTGCCTTCCAAAACTGTGGGGATTAGAGATTAATGAACAAGGTTGTTGGTATCATATCTTGGATTTTAGCAACGCAGTGATCATTTAAGTGTGAAGCAAGATCCAATTTGTGCTTACTCATCACCTTGAGCAGATAGGCTCAGATGCATATTAGTTTGCATTGGCTGCCCTTTGAGCGTACTTGGGCAATCCATTGAAAAGTCGCAAGATTTCAAAGGACCGTTCTTTAATGTTACAAAGAGTTGTTCTCAAGCTTCCCTGATGACCTAATGGATAAAGGGCCAGCACAAAGGTGTATAAGCAAAGATTGCAGACAGACTGAATTGATATAGACAGAACAGCAACTGGGACAGTTAATCTCAGTGCTCCTTTCACCAATTACTAGTCTAAATTCAGTCCTCAGCACAAACTTGATGACTGAATGGTCTGCTAGAACATCGTATGTTTCTACACAGTGGGAGGAGCTGGGGATGAAACACTGATTCCTGGGACACCACTTGTCACTATAATAAATAATAATCCTTGCTTTTGTTATGGCGCTGTTCATATCAGGAAGATGGCTCAAAGTGCTTTACATGAGTTACTTAAAGCGTTGTGAAAATGATTATTTTGTAGAAAAACACAGTAGCCAATTTGTCACATCTAACATCCCATAAACAGCCATGAGGTGAATGATCAATTTTGTCTGGGAATTTTGGCCAGGATACCGGGAGAAACTCTTTTCTCCCTGCACTTCCCTTCTTCACTGCCTTCTAATTAGAGACTGTCCATTTTATCACCAAAATTCAGCTTCCCAACTAAGTTCCTATCCATCACACACAACTGTCTCCATTTCCACGTTATTAATTCCATGTAGGAAAATGTAGGATGTGTCTGTATCCCAGCACTTGTAGTACAAACTGTTTAACAATTTGCTTCACCAGTGATATTATCCTGTTTCTGATTTCCACATTCTTTACAGTGCTATTAAAGGCTGTTTGGTAGTGTAGTAGCAATATTATGTTATCAATTACCCTGAATTACACAACAAACATTTGGTCCTGAATTCAACACATATTTTGTCTCGCTAATGCTGTACTTTTGGGATTGGGTGAATATGTTATTAGACACAGAAATGGCCAAACCGTACAAAGCTATGCCTTACTTTTCCAGATATGCAGGGTCTTGGGTATTCTTTAAAATATTCTAGGTTTGAGTGATCACATTGTTAGTGTCATTTCTGAGCAATATACAAGTGTGCTGATATCTCTCCAACTAAAGTGAACAGTAGCATATCTAAGATTGACTGTTCCCAGCAGATTTTACTCAGTCCAAAGCATATCTAATAAAAACAAGTTGCACAATTATATTTCCTCACACACACAATGTCAAATTATTTATTTTGTGTTTGCATGACATTAATTTCAGCTGAACTAGCATAGAAAAAAGGATACTTTATGAATGCCTGCAGAATTAAATTAATACAAAATCTTACCCTTTTTTCAATGTGTGTGTGGTGAATTGGCAAAAGTTGCATAAACAGTGCAATGACTTGTAAGAAGTACAGTATAAGTAACACTAAGGTGATAAGCATTTCTTAAGAATTTGAAAGTGATGCATAATTCATTGGGAACAGCTCCAGCATGTCACCAAAGGTACATGTGATGATGTCCTTACATTGATGGCCTCCTTGTTCAGATTGTTTGAACCTCAGGATCTCTCAGACTTTCCAACTAACAGCAACTTGCATTTATATAGCATCCATCACTCAGGGCAGTAACTCGGAGCATCTAAAAGTGGCGGAACCCAAACTGGGGGGAGAGAGGAGGTGACCGTAAGCACAGTCGAAGAGGAAGCGATCTAAAGAAAGGGGAAGGAGGGGGCAGGTGGGGGGATTGGGGAGAGAGAGTTCCAAAGCTTTGGGGGCAAATAACACATTATCTTACACTAAGAGCAATAAAACGACGATTCCAAATGATTTCTCCTATCTGGGAACTTTTTAAGGAAGCCTTTCAGCATTTCAGTAGCCTGCAGGTGCGATTCCGAATTGTACAAAGACAACGAAAGTAACAGCTGGTTGACAATGTTCATCAAACAATCTTCGATCTCTTTCAGATCGCCATCAAGCTGGAAGCCGTCCTTCCTGGTCGCCAAGCGAACGCAGATGTTTCTTAACTCCACGCTGAGCTACAAATCAACAACAACAACAACAACAAGATTCCATTTATAAAGCGCCTTTCACGTCAGGAGGACGTCCCAAGGCGCTGCACAGTTGGGTCATGACCCGAGCAGGGGGGAAATGGTCAGGGTGAGGGGAGGGAAGGGAGGGAGCGAGGAGGGGGAAATGGTCAGGGTGAGGGAGGGGAGGGAGGGAGCGAGGAGGGGGGAAATGGTCAGGGTGAGGGGAGGGAAGGGAGGGAGCGAGGAGGGGGAAGAGAGTCGAGAGGGGAGCTGAAGGCTCGGTCAAAGAGAAAGGTTTTGAGACCGGCCTTGAAGGAGGAAAGGGAGGAAGCAAGGCGAAGGCACTGGGGGATGGAGTTCCAGAGCCTGGGGGCTGAGAGGCTGAAGGCCCAACCACCGATGGTAGGGCGGTTGGGGCGGGGGACGTGGAGCAGACCGGAGCCAGAGGAACGGAGGGTACGGGCAGGTAGGTAGGGGGATAGTAGGTCGGAGAGATAGGAGGGAGCAAGGCCGTGAATGGCCTTGTAATAAACAATAAACAATTAAACAAGAAGATATATTAGCAAAATGCAAATATTGGATTTGCCAATTTTTGCCAATTCACCACACACACATTGAAAAAAATCAAATGCACAGCGCAAGCTGATTTATGTGTCTCTATCTGACATTGGCGGTTAGGTTTTTCTTGATTATTAATATTGGCAGTGAGATATTTACCAAAGCTGTACACTCAAACGGTGACACAGGTGAGCGAAGAGGTTTGCACTCCCTCGTTTTAAACAGCAAAGAGTTGCCATTATTTCTTCGCGCATCTGCTTTAAGGATGAGCGCGACAATAAAGTGGGTGTACACGTCGATGGGAAGTAGAAGTTTTCAGGACCTGCGTGTCACCCCCCACCCCCTCTCCCCCTCCCCCCCTCCCTCCCTCTCCTTTACCCACAAGATGCCACTCTCACCTTTAATTCCACAGGGAAGAAGTGTGGCTCCGGCAAAGGGCACAGTCCGCGCTGCTCCACGGCGGTCAGTTCGGAAGTCAGGTCCACGAAGCGGCTCAGTTTGCTCTCTCTGGCCATGTGGGCAATGGTCCGCCGGCTGTGCGGAGGACCCGGCGGGTGGCGGGTGGCCGGGCAGGGCTGGTCCGGGCAGGGCTGGTCCGGACCAATGCATCGCTCGCTCTCCAGCCTCTGCCGCAGGGTCTTCAGAGCCACCCACTGGTGGTCGATGCACGTCTGCAAAGCGGCTGCTGGTCTGTGCATCGTCGAAGCAGCGGCAAAGATTCACTGCTGAGGGATGGGGTGGGATGGTGGGGGCATGTGGGTGGGGTGGGGGTGGTCGCTGCAAACTGCACTCCTCAATGAGTGTCTCCCCCCCCCCCCACCGCCACCCCCTTGTTTTTGGTACCCCAGATCAGCTAAAAGTTTCTGCTCTCATCAGCCCCCTCACCAATAGCTTTCTGCCGCGTGTACACCCAAAGCGATAACACTTTTATCACTGGAAGAAGACTTTGCATATATGGAGAGCATTTTTTTTTTTGGGGGGGTGGGATGGAGTTGTCACTCTGGGGGGGGCAGTAAAGCTATGCCTTACTTTTCCAGATATGCAGGGTCTTGGGTATTCTTTAAAATATTCTAGGTTTGAGTGATCACATTGTTAGTGTCATTTCTGAGCAATATACAAGTGTGCTGATATCTCTCCATCTAAAGTGAACAGTAGCATATCTAAGATTGACTGTTCCCAGCAGATTTTACTCAGTCCAAAGCATATCTAATAAAAACAAGTTGCACAATTATATTTCCTCACACACACAATGTCAAATTATTTATTTTGTGTTTGCATGACATTAATTTCAGCTGAACTAGCATAGAAAAAAGGATACTTTATGAATGCCTGCAGAATTAAATTAATACAAAATCTTACCCTTTTTTCAATGCGTGTGTGGTGAATTGGCAAAAGATGCATAAACAGTGCAATGACTTGTAAGAAGTACAGTATAAGTAACACTAAGGTGATAAGCATTTCTTAAGAATTTGAAAGTGATGCATAATCCATTGGGAACAGCTCCAGCATGTCACCAAAGGTACATGTGATGATGTCCTTACATTGATGGCCTCCTTGTTCAGATTGTTTGAACCGCAGGATCTCTCAGACTTTCCAACTAACAGCAACTTGCATTTATATAGCATCCATCACTCAGGGCAGTAACTCGGAGCATCTAAAAGTGGCGGAACCCAAACTGGGGGGAGAGAGGAGGTGACCGTAAGCACAGTCGAAGAGGAAGCGATCTAAAGAAAGGGGAAGGAGGGGGCAGGTGGGGGATTGGGGAGAGAGAGTTCCAAAGCTTTGGGGGCAAATAACACATTATCTTACACTAAGAGCAATAAAACGATGATTCCAAATGATTTCTCCTATCTGGGAACTTTTTAAGGAAGCCTTTCAGCATTTCAGTAGCCTGCAGGTGCGATTCCGAATTGTACAAAGACAACGAAAGTAACAGCTGGTTGACAATGTTCATCAAACAATCTTCGATCTCTTTCAGATCGCCATCAAGTTGGAAGCCGTCCTTCCTGGTCGCCAAGCGAACGCAGATGTTTCTTAACTCCACGCTGAGCTACAAATCAAATAAACAAGAAGATCTATTAGCAAAATGCAAATATTGGATTTGCCAATTTTTGCCAATTCACCACACACACATTGAAAAAAATCAAATGCACAGCGCGAGCTGATTTATGTGTCTCGATCTGACATTGGCGGTCAGGTTTTTCTTGATTATTAATATTGGCAGTGAGATATTTACCAAAGCTGTACACTCAAACGGTGACACAGGTGAGCGAAGAGGTTTGCACTCCCTCGTTTTAAACAGCAAAGAGTTGCCATTATTTCTTCGCGCATCTGCTTTAAGGATGAGCGCGACAATAAAGTGGGTGTACACGTCGATGGGAAGTAGAAGTTTTCAGGACCTGTGTGTCACCCCCCACCCCCTCTCCCTCCCTCCCTCCCCTTACCCACAAGATGCCCCTCTCACCTTTAGTTCAACAGGGAAGAAGTGTGGCTCCGGCAAAGGGCACAGTCCGCGCTGCTCCACGGCGGTCAGTTCGGAAGTCAGGTCCACGAAGCGGCTCAGTTTGCTCTCTCTGGCCATGTGGGCAATGGTCCGCCGGCTGTGCGGAGGACCCGGCGGGTGGCGGGTGGCCGGGCTGGGCTGGTCCGGGCAGGGCTGGTCCGGACCAATGCATCGCTCGCTCTCCAGCCTCTGCCGCAGGGTCTTCAGAGCCGCCCACTGGTGGTCGATGCACGTCTGCAAAGCGGCTGCTGGTCTGTGCATCGTCGAAGCAGCGGCAAAGATTCACTGCTGAGGGATGGGGTGGGATGGTGGGGGGTGGGGGGGGGGTGGGGGTGGGTGTGGATCGCTGCAAACTGCACTCCTCAATGAGTGTCTCCCCCCCCACCCCCCCACCGCCACCCCCTTGTTTTTGGTACCCCAGATCAGCTAAAAGTTTCTGCTCTCAACAGCCCCCTCACCAATAGCTTTCTGCCGCGTGTACACCCAAAGCGATAACACTTTTATCACTGGAAGAAGACTTTGCATATATGGAGAGCATTTTTTTTTTTGGGGGGGTGGGATGGAGTTGTCACTCTGGGGGGGCAGTAAAGCTATGCCTTACTTTTCCAGATATGCAGGGTCTTGGGTATTCTTTAAAATATTCTAGGTTTGAGTGATCACATTGTTAGTGTCATTTCTGAGCAATATACAAGTGTGCTGATATCTCTCCATCTAAAGTGAACAGTAGCATATCTAAGATTGACTGTTCCCAGCAGATTTTACTCAGTCCAAAGCATATCTAATAAAAACAAGTTGCACAATTATATTTCCTCACACACACAATGTCAAATTATTTATTTTGTGTTTGCATGACATTAATTTCAGCTGAACTAGCATAGAAAAAAGGATACTTTATGAATGCCTGCAGAATTAAATTAATACAAAATCTTACCCTTTTTTCAATGCGTGTGTGGTGAATTGGCAAAAGATGCATAAACAGTGCAATGACTTGTAAGAAGTACAGTATAAGTAACACTAAGGTGATAAGCATTTCTTAAGAATTTGAAAGTGATGCATAATCCATTGGGAACAGCTCCAGCATGTCACCAAAGGTACATGTGATGATGTCCTTACATTGATGGCCTCCTTGTTCAGATTGTTTGAACCTCAGGATCTCTCAGACTTTCCAACTAACAGCAACTTGCATTTATATAGCATCCATCACTCAGGGCAGTAACTCGGAGCATCTAAAAGTGGCGGAACCCAAACTGGGGGGAGAGAGGAGGTGACCGTAAGCACAGTCGAAGAGGAAGCGATCTAAAGAAAGGGGAAGGAGGGGGCAGGTGGGGGGATTGGGGAGAGAGAGTTCCAAAGCTTTGGGGGCAAATAACACATTATCTTACACTAAGAGCAATAAAACGATGATTCCAAATGATTTCTCCTATCTGGGAACTTTTTAAGGAAGCCTTTCAGCATTTCAGTAGCCTGCAGGTGCGATTCCGAATTGTACAAAGACAACGAAAGTAACAGCTGGTTGACAATGTTCATCAAACAATCTTCGATCTCTTTCAGATCGCCATCAAGCTGGAAGCCGTCCTTCCTGGTCGCCAAGCGAACGCAGATGTTTCTTAACTCCACGCTGAGCTACAAATCAACAACAACAACAACAACAAGATTCCATTTATAAAGCGCCTTTCACGTCAGGAGGACGTCCCAAGGCGCTGCACAGTTGGGTCATGACCCGAGCAGGGGGGAAATGGTCAGGGTGAGGGGAGGGAAGGGAGGGAGCGAGGAGGGGGGAAATGGTCAGGGTGAGGGGAGGGGAGGGAGGGAGCGAGGAGGGGGGAAATGGTCAGGGTGAGGGGAGGGAAGGGAGGGAGCGAGGAGGGGAAGAGAGTCGAGAGGGGAGCTGAAGGCTCGGTCAAAGAGAAAGGTTTTGAGACCGGCCTTGAAGGAGGAAAGGGAGGAAGCAAGGCGAAGGCACTGGGGGATGGAGTTCCAGAGCCTGGGGGCTGAGAGGCTGAAGGCCCGACCACCGATGGTAGGGCGGTTGGGGCGGGGGACGTGGAGCAGACCGGAGCCAGAGGAACGGAGGGTACGGGCAGGTAGGTAGGGGGATAGTAGGTCGGAGAGATAGGAGGGAGCAAGGCCGTGAATGGCCTTGTAATAAACAATAAACAATTAAACAAGAAGATATATTAGCAAAATGCAAATATTGGATTTGCCAATTTTTGCCAATTCACCACACACACATTGAAAAAAATCAAATGCACAGCGCAAGCTGATTTATGTGTCTCGATCTGACATTGGCGGTCAGGTTTTTCTTGATTATTAATATTGGCAGTGAGATATTTACCAAAGCTGTACACTCAAACGGTGACACAGGTGAGCGAAGAGGTTTGCACTCCCTCGTTTTAAACAGCAAAGAGTTGCCATTATTTCTTCGCGCATCTGCTTTAAGGATGAGCGCGACAATAAAGTGGGTGTACACGTCGATGGGAAGTAGAAGTTTTCAGGACCTGTGTGTCACCCCCCACCCCCTCTCCCCCTCCCCCCTCCTCCCTCCCTTACCCACAAGATGCCCTCTCACCTTTAATTCCACAGGGAAGAAGTGTGGCTCCGGCAAAGGGCACAGTCCGCGCTGCTCCACGGCGGTCAGTTCGGAAGTCAGGTCCACGAAGCGGCTCAGTTTGCTCTCTCTGGCCATGTGGGCAATGGTCCGCCGGCTGTGCGGAGGACCCGGCGGGTGGCGGGTGGCCGGGCTGGGCTGGTCCGGGCAGGGCTGGTCCGGACCAATGCATCGCTCGCTCTCCAGCCTCTGCCGCAGGGTCTTCAGAGCCGCCCACTGGTGGTCGATGCACGTCTGCAAAGCGGCTGCTGGTCTGTGCATCGTCGAAGCAGCGGCAAAGATTCACTGCTGAGGGATGGGGTGGGATGGTGGGGGTGGGGTGGGGTGGGGGTGGGTGTGGATCGCTGCAAACTGCACTCCTCAATGAGTGCCCCCCCCCCCACCGCCACCCCCTTGTTTTTGGTACCCCAGATCAGCTAAAAGTTTCTGCTCTCATCAGCCCCCTCACCAATAGCTTTCTGCCGCGTGTACACCCAAAGCGATAACACTTTTATCACTGGAAGAAGACTTTGCATATATGGAGAGCATTTTTTTTTTTTGGGGGGGTGGGATGGAGTTGTCACTCTGGGGGGGGCAGTAAAGCTATG